ATATACTGAGACAGAATGTTTTTCCATTTCTTGGGGTCAGGAGAGAATGTGTAATTCAGAAACATTAAGTGGTGAACTGTGGTCTAGGGTATTTCATATGTATGTGTAGAAATGGAGCTCATAAATTTTTGTGAGGAAGATGGATGAGAAAGCAGATAACCATAGTGAAGTGTGATAAGTGATGTCTAGAACTTGAAAAGGTAGTTTAGAGAAAATTGCAAATAGGAAGTAATGAGTGATTTGGATTTGATGGTGGGGTAAGAATAATCAGGTTAAATGAAGCAAGACTGCACAAACCAAAGCAGTTAATAAGAACATAGGTATTGTGAGTTATGAAAGTGTATAGTGGGTGTGAGGGCTTGGAAGTCATAGCCAGAGGTGGAATTCATGATTGATTGATTTTGGGGCCTTACATGTGGAAGCCCTGTTAAGATTTCATTTTATAGGCTGTCTTCTAAGATAGTTATTTAAGTAGAGTAGTGGCATGATCCTATGGACTTGGTAGAATCTTCATTGCCACTGCAGTGGAAAGATGGATTGTTTAGGGAAGAGGTTAGAGTTAGGTGACACTGGAAACATCTTGAAATGATGGATGTTAGTGTTTATAGAACTAGAGGAGGGATACCTGGGAAACTAAGATTATAGAGTTAATCGATAAGATAACTGAATTTATAACTTGGACAGGGCATTTAAGTGGATAGTGGGCTGCCATCAAGCCCACTGGGGTTGTTATCAACAATGCAAATATGAGGACCACTTTAATTAAGTGGATACCATTAATTAAAAAGGGGGATTTAGGACCTCCCTGGTAGCACAGGGGTTAAAGTCTCAGCTCTATCAAGTTATCACCAGCAACTGCGACATGGGTTCAATCCCTGGTCAGGGAGCTGACCCACATGGTGCAGCAGACCTCTCCTATCACCCACTGCTCCCCTCAGCGTGTATTTCAGTAGATCTGCCTGTTCTGCTCCCACTCTGTTTCTGGTGAATCTTCTCACCCCCCCCCACCCCATACCTCTGGCCTATACCCCAGTTCTTTTGTGCAAAAATTAATAAAATAAATCTTTAAAAAAAAAAAAAAAAAAAAAGGGGTTATAGGGCCTCCCTGGTTTCGCAGCGGTTGAGCGCTGGGTTACGAAGCTGCCTGCAGCCTCTGCAGTGCCGGTTCGATCCCGGCTGCTCCCCGGCCACCAGAGGAGGGCCCCACATGGCGCCTGCTGCTCCCCTCAGCAGTGTACTTCGGTCCTTCTGCAACAGGGTGGTCTGCAGGAAGGGGGAGGTTCCCTGCCCCACCAAGAGAGGGTGGAGCTGAGCAGGAAGAGGAGAAGCTGCAGAAGAGACTGAGGAAGGAAGTAGGATGGAGCCAGGAGACCTAGAAGAGGCGCATGGAGCCTAGAGACACGTGAAGAAACTGCGCTTGTCTTTTGGTCGTGGACTGGGTGACACAAATGTGGGTGAGACCCGTGGGGAGGTGACAATGGCAGCTTTTATCTTGATGTTGATTTTGCTCTTTTCCTTTTGGGCTTGTCTGGTTGTTTCTGACCCTTTTCTGTGGGTCCCCACTGGAAGATGCTTTAGACTTGTGCCAGGCTTTGGGGTCTTGTTTTGGGCCGATTCCATATGGATGGAGTTTTACCCACGAGGGGACGGATAACTTTGGGTGCTTTATTTAGAAACTAGACTTTTTGCCTTACCTGTATTGTTTTTTAGTTTTATTAAAGTTTCTTTTCATTAAAGTCTCTTATGTTTTTGTGTTGATGCGGCGGATGGCAGAACCCATTTAGAATAGGCAGGTTTGTGGGGTTTGGGCTGCCCCTCTCCCTGTCCTATAACAGATTTGGCGCCCAACATGATTTAGGACAGAGCCATCCGTGGTTAGTCAGCCCCATTTGGGGCCTTGCTCTGGGCCGATCCCATATGGATGGAGTTTTACCCACGAGGGGACGGGTAACTTTGGGTGCTTCATTTAGAAACTAGACTCTTTGCCTTACCTGTATTGTTTCCTAGTTTTATTAAAGTTCCTTCCCATTAAAGTCTACTATGTTTTTGTGTTGATGCGGCGGATGGCAGAACCCATTTAGAATAGGCAGGTTTGCGGGGTTTGGGCTGCCCCTCTCCCTGTCCTATAACACTTCTGCCTGCTCTGCTCCCCGCTCTGGCTCTGGTGAATTCTCTCACCCTCCTGCGCTTCTGACTGTACCCAGTGAGTGAATAAATAAATAAATAAATAAATAAATCTTAAAAAAAAAAAATTTAAAAAAAAGGGGGGGGGTTATAGGAAAGGACCCAGGCATGAAGTTGGCAGATGAGAGATACATTTGGTTATGGCTTTTGCATTGAATTGCATTTTTCTGGGTTGTTCTTTGAAATAAAAATCTGAATATACTAATTTTTTGCTTATATTACCTGTTGACTTTGGGATAGTTATGACTTTTCACTGCAGGGCTGGTGTATGCCACAGATGATAATAGTATGGAGAGAGAGTGGGTGTGTCTCCTTAGTTTCTTTGGGGTTAAAATATTTCACTGCCTCCTTATCTCCTGGGCCCTCAGGCTACAAGCAGTAAACTCTGATGCAAACGAATCTATGAAAGGGGAAGAAAAGAGAGCCTCCCTGGTGGTGCAGGCGATTGAGCGCCATGCTGTGAAGCTGTCAGCAGCCTCTGCAGCACTGTTTTGGTCTTGGTGAGTGGGCCAGCCGGCAGGCCAGGGTCCCACATGGCGCGGCAGACCTCTCCTGTCTCGCCCGCTGCTCCCCTCAGCAGTGTATTTCACTAGTCTGCCTGTTCTGTTCCCCACTCTGTCTCTGGTGAGTCCTCTCACCCTCCCATGTGTCTGGCCTGTACCCCCGTTCTTGTACAAATAAATAAATAAATCTTAAAAAGTGGGGGAGGGAAGAAAAGGTAAAACCCTGCTTTGGATGGGAGATTGCACCTACAGACTCTATTTTTTGGGCCCCTGTGGATTGTCCATTTTTTCTCTTCTCAGTTTTCCTGGTCTCTCGAGTTAGAACAGTAATCTGTACTGCCTGCTTTCACTTCTCTTACCAACATATGCTTCAGAAACACTTGGCAGTGGCAGTTTCCCTTGTTTCTTAACTGGGAAACTGGCTTAGGTAAGGTAAAGATCCCTTATACAATTAGCTTTAGCTTTGGTTGATGTTGTTCTAAATTGGGTAATGTCTTTGGCTGCAGTGACTCTACTTTTGTGTTTGGGTAAATCTCTGCATGTGTATGAACTGTTTTCTCATCAGCTCTGAATGTTGGAGTGGTTTGCACAGTTGGCAGAAGACCCAGGAGATAGAATGTGGATGGGGGAAGGGAGCTCAGGAAAAATTTGATGAGGTGGGGGAGAAACAAAAAAACGAATGGCATACCAGAATCCCATTAACTTGTAGATTTACAGGCAAGCAAGAACTTGCTAATGGACGTTGTGGGGATGCTTTTAACACCATGGGAAAAATTTGTGGGACGTTTAAAGACAAAAAAAATTTTGGGATATTTTAAGATAATTCTAAAATTATATTTTAGAAAAGATTTAAGAAACAGGGCCTCCCTGGTGGCGCAAGTGTTAGGGGGAAATGATGTCCTGAACTAATCCCATACAGGCTTTGTGGACCCCACCCCCACTCCAGACTAAAGCCATCAAGACATTGGGAAAGACAAATCCCATCACCACCAAGGGAGGGTGGCTGGGACCTGAGGGTGGAGTTGGGCAGCCAGGTTGGGTATAAAAACCAAACACGTGGGCCTTGGGGGCTCGCTATCGCTTGCCTCCTTGCTTCACGGCTACTGGCTTGCGGCCAGCTCTCAGAGCGCCATTTTGGGATTCCTGATCGGCAGATCGGTGGAATGAGTTGAGGTCTTTCTCCCGTTAATTTCTTTTCTTTTTTAAAAGATTTATTTATTTATTTTTGCATGGAAAACTGGGGTGTAGGCCAGAGGTAGGGGGTGAGAAGATTCACCAGAGACAGAGTGGGGAGCAGAACAGGCAGATCAACTGAAATACACTGCTGAGGGGAGCAGTGGGCAAGACAGGAGAGGTCTACTGTGCCTTGTGGGTTAGCTCCCTGGCTGGGGATTGAACTCTTGCTGCAGTGGCTGGTGATAGCTTGATAGCACTTAGACTTTAACCCCTGTGCCACCAGGGAGGTCCTCTCCCATGAATTTCTTCAGAAACAATTTCTGCAGATGTCAGACTTTGAAATAAGCAAAAATAAAAGCTAATACCATAATACATAAGGAAATTTGTTCAATTTTTATCTTAACAATATTAACAAGCAATCATCAAAATTGGCAAAATTTACATACAGACAACTGAAATGTTTCACATATGTTTTAGGACACTAATGTATTTATCAAAGTTAAACATTTTTTTTCTGAGAGACAATGCTTCCCTTTGAATTCCAATTTACCAGGTAAATAGCTAGAACAGGAATAATATTACAAGCTCCTGATCAGTAGAATTGCTAAGCAAGCCTGTGAGCATTCACACAGAAAAATCGTAGAAGAAAGTGCCCACTGTGAGGTGCACTTTCTGTAAATAGCTCCCACTCTGGATCTGGCAGGGCTGGTCAGTCAAGTATGCCTGATTGGCATGCACTGTCTCAATGGTTTCCAAACAGTTAATGTGTTAAGTTTCCATCCTCCAGTCCTTCTACTTTGCGTGGAAGCAGTGTAGCTGGATTTAAGGAATTAGTGACTTGTTTCAGGTTAGAATTGTCTAACAGAACTGCTTGGTATTTCCTCACTCACTCAGCAGTCAACCAAAGTCCATCCTTCTGCTCTAACAGTGTTAAACCTGAGGTGGCACATGCACAGTGATGGGCTGACCTGATGTAAATTCCTTTGCCTTGTGTGGAAGGTCACATGCGGCTCAGTGTGGAGACCATGTAGTGTTGGCACGTAATGATGTTCTCCTTAACCCTTATTTTGATAAAAACAAAAAGATAATCTCTTTCTAATATTATGCTCCATCTTTTTCTTTATTTGTTTTAGGAAAACTATGAACAGATGAAAGCACTAGTAAATCAACTCCATGAGCGAACACAGACTATAAAACTAGGTAAACGTGTTTATTTTACAGTTTACATTTTTTAGTTAAGATGTCCCTTTATGGAAACGATTGGTTTTAGGAAAAACTAGCAGCACTAAGCTTTTGACTCTTCAAGATGGTGCATTGCTGGTATGTAGATTTTTGTTAATTTCTTGACCAGTTTTCCCTCTACATGTAGCATTGCCACTATTGGGGGGTCCGGGAGGGAAAGAAAATAATTCAAATTCATCAATTTTTAACTACTGTTTCTAAGGTTTTATTTCATCCACATCATCACACTGAAATGACTGTTCCATCTAAAGCAACTAAAACATTTTCATTTGATTAGTCATATTCATACAATGTACTCAATTTTGCATTATTATACATTTTTCTGCTGTGTTATATAACTTGGAAATAGTTTCGATATGGTTTATTGTTATTAAATTAGATTTCCTGACAACTTAATAAATTGTCATTATTTCCATTTTTTTTTTTTTTTTAAGCTATAGACATAAAAGACATTGATTTGCTTGGAAGGTAATGTATTAGAAGTAAAAAAAAAAAGAAAATGCTTCTTAGAAAGAAATGTAAAATATTAATGTATAGTATATATCTTATATATTATATGTTTACATAATATTCTGTTGTGCCACTATTGGTATATATACAATAATTTACTTTAGAAGATATGACTTTAAAGGTCTCTTCAAAAATAAGGGTGAAGCAACTTGAGACAGTACCTTTTCTGCCTGTCTGAAAATTATTTAGGAAGCTTTATGAATTTTAAAATTAGGATCTCAAAATTCTATAGTGGCCCAAGGAGGAAAAATGAGAACAGGAATAATACTCCAGGCTCTTGATCAGTAGAATTGCTAAGCTAGCCTGTGAGCATTCACACAGAAAAATCAGAAGAAAGTGCCTGTTGTGAGATGCACAAAAGACCCCAAACCAAAAACATACCAACACACACACACACTTGGCTGTTAAAGTTATGATGAGCCTGATCAGAATTGCTAAAGTACCAAACATATCAAAAACGTATCTTCAGAGGCGATTTTATTAATGGGCGATTTTTCTCTTTTCCTATATTTATCTCTATTTTCCCAAAATCCTTTATATATTGCTTTTAAATTATGTTTGTGTAATATTCATTTTCATGGCATAGCAGGATGAATTCTGGACAAAACTGTGAAGGCCAATCTTGCCCTGTTCTTCCGTCTCTGTCCCCTCCTTCCCCCAGAGTCCTGCTCAATCCTTCTTCACCAACCAGCCTTCCCCCTCACCCTGAAGTCTTCATTTGTGACTTGTGATAAATAAAAAGGCTGACAAAAGTTAGCTGACTCTGGCCCTCCTTTTTGTCTTTTCTTTCTGTCTCCTACCTTTGTTTCAGGTTTCTTTAGACCACTGTCTCTGTCTTTAATGTCCCTTTCTTTAACCGTGGAGCTTTGTAGGATTATGTGAGAAGGGTTTTAGTCATTTCTATAGGGGAAAAAGGATTACTCCTGCTGTGTTATTAGTAACAGCCAGAACTAAGTACTTTGATTAACACAGTTAATTGTTTATTTTTTATTTTTAAAATAATATTAATTAAAAAAATTTTATATCATTGTTCATTTTTAAACAATATTTGCTTCCCCCCACCCCTCAGGTGTAGTCCCCATAGAGTTTCCTTCCCCAAGGCACCGGTGCACCATCACCTCAGTCCCCTGTGCTCCTCCCTCCCTCCCTCTGATCCCTCTCCCTCCTCCTCCCCTGCAGGATGTCTCTGATTTATAATTGTCCGTTTTTGCTTTGTTGTGTTTTGTACTGTTACTATTTGTTTACACTAATGTCTTAATGGTTTCCCCTATATTCCTGGTGTAAGTGAAACCATCCAATATTTTTCTTTTTCCTTCTGGCTTATTTCACTGAGCATAATTCCTTCTAGTTCCATCCACATTGCTGTGAATAGCATGAGTTCATCTTTTTTGATTGCTGAGTATTATTCCATTGTGTATATGTGCCACATCTTCTTGATCTAGTCATCTATTTTTGGGCACTTGGGTTGTTTCCAGGTTTTACCTATTGTAAATAGTGCTGCAATAAACATAGGGGTACAGGTGTTCTTTTGAATCAGTGTTTTTGTGTCCTTTGGGTAGATCCCTAGTAGTGGAATTGCCGGGTCATATGGTAGCTCCATTTTTAGTAGACTGAGGAACCTCCAGACAGCTCTCCATAGTGGTTGGACCAGTTTGCACTCCCACCAGCAATGTAGGAGAGTTCCTTTTTCACCACATCCTCGCCAACATTTGTTGTTGCTAGTTTTTTTGATATGTGCCATTCTTACTGGTGTAAGGTGGTATTTCTATGTGGTTTTAATTTGCATTTCCCTGATTATCAGGGATTTAGCACAAATTAATTGAAGGGTTATGTTTTGTTAGATTAAAAAAAAAGTCTTAATGCTGGACAAAAACTTTATCAATATGGAAAATATCACAGATGGTTTTGGTGGTTGATACAGAGGTCTTTTAGTGACCTAAAGATCAGACTTGTGTAGTTTTGGAAGACATTATAAAATGGAACTCAGTTAAGCTCCATGCATGTCATTCCAACAACCAGCTTAGCACAGTTGAAGTGGCAAGACTCTTGTGCTGTGCTTGCAGAGGCTGACAGCTGTGTCATGACTGCCCCCTGGTGACATGGGTTGAAAGATGCCATAAATGTAAAATGCTTCCTGATTTCAAGGGTGTTCAAGTGTGAGCAAAATATGTACACCTTAGAAAAGATACAGTGTAGTAAATGAGATTGTCCCCTTAATCCTGACCCACGTCACTAGGGAACACTAGGGAACTCGGAGTTCTCTCTGGTTTGGAGAAAATAAAAAAGCAATTTGACTTAATTCACACTCTCATGTAAGTCCAGAATTTTCATTTTAAAAGATTAGATGTGTGATATATATATTTTTGGCAAACTTAAGGCAGATTTAATCTTTAAAATGTACCACCTACTGCTTTGGGAAAAAACAAAACTAAACCCCTTAGATACAGGCAAAGAACCCTGATTTGGAAATAGGTTGTACTTAGAGAAGTTCTTTTGAAATAGATATGAATTTACTTTCTCCCCTAAAAAAATAAAGTTTTACTTAAATAGCTGAAAATTTCAAGTAGTATAAAGTATAGGAAGATGAAATTCTTGGGCAACAGTGAAAATAAATGTATTAAGGTAAAATTTGACCTCTCTGTTTCTGATTTCTTCTCTTGGCTTGCTGAGAGTAGACTTATATTGTCAAGATCCTCACCCCTGGGTTGGCTGGGTGAGGTTTGCTGCGCTTATTTCATCAAGCAGCCTCATTGGGTTACCTTAGTGGACTGTTCACTTATTGCCATTTAATTTTCTTTGTCTGGAACAACTTTATGAAACACAATAATCTCTGAACCAAGATGCTAACAAAAATGAACTTTAAAAATTGCTATTTAGGGCCTCCCTGAGGGCACAGGGAGTTGAGCACAGTTCTGTGAAGCTGTCCGCAGCCTCTGCAGCACAGGTTCGATTCCCGGAAGGCCAGGGATATACCCACGTGGCAAGGCAGACCTCTCCTGTCTCGCCCGCTGCTCCCCTCAGCTGTGTGTTTCAGCTTGTCTGCCTGTTCTGTTCCCCGCTCTGTCTCTTGTAAATCCTCTTGCCCTCTTGTGCCTCTGGCCTGTACCCCAGCTCTTGTATAAATAAATGAAAAATCTTTTTTAAAAAAATTGCTATTTCAACTCTCTTTGATTTGAAGACTTAAAAAGTTAGGGGTCATTAATGTACCTTTACATAAGTTTTGCTTGTGTTTTTTATGGAACTAATTTCTAAAAAAAAATGCCTTTTTACCTGGTGCAAATGAGGGTAGGAATTTTCAAATTTCACATGGTGCAAACACACTGCTAATTAGTTGTATTAGGTATTTAATAAAGGTGGGGGTGATGAAGCAGTGTCTGTAGCACTGTTATTCCTCTAAGTGAGTACTAGTGAATTCAGAAAATGTATGATAAACTGTGGGATCAGGGATAGATGATTTTTTTAATTGTTTCTTTACTTTAGAAAATTTAGTGAATCATCTGAAATGTCAGCCTTTTTTTCCACAGGATATATTAAACTTTTTAGAAGTACCCTGTTTTGGACTAAAATTTATGTTTTTCTGGCTTTATGTTAAATGGAGACCTTCTATCCTGTCACTCTAATCTAATCATGTTTTTTTGCCATAGGAGGTGGTAAGAAAGCTACAGCACTTCACTTGTCAAGAGGCAAACTCTTACCCAGACAAAGAGTGGATGGGCTTCTAGACCCAGGGTTAGTATATATCCAAGTGTTAACTCAGACTGCTCTCTATTCTGTGGTGCCCTCTTAGTTTCCTAAATGAATGATTTTAAGTGTTTTAAAAGATTTATTTATTTATGCATACAAGAACTGGGATACATGCCAGAGGTGTGGGGGTGGTGTGAGAGGATTCACACAGACAGAGTGGGGAACAGAGCAGGCAGATTGACTGAAATACACTGCTGAGGGAAGCAGCGGGCGCGGCAGGAGAGGTCTGCTGTGCCCTGTGGGTCACCTCCCTGGCTGGGGTTCAAACTCATGCTGCAATGGCTGCAAATTGCTTTATAGGTTGCGTCTTAACCCCTTGCACTACTAGGGAGTCCCCATGAAATTGTTTCTTATTGTAAGATTCAACAATAGATATTTATTGAGTGGCTATAATGTATCAAGCATTGTTCTAGGTGCTGTTACTATCCATTAGTCAACAAAACAAAGGCCCTTGCCCTACTGGCGTTTCACATTGTAGCAGGAAGAGACTGAAAATAAACCATAAACTTATTATGTTAGAAGGTGACAGGTGTTATAGGAAAAAGAAAGGTAAACTAGAGGAAGGGAGGGGAGGATGAGGGTTCAGTGAGTTTAGAATGGGATGATGGGGGGCTCTCATTGAGATGGCCTTTTGAGCAAAAATTTAATGGAGTTAAGAAAGGTAATCCTGCATATATCTGGGAAAAGTGTGGTGTAAGCAGCAGGAATAGCTAGTGCAAAGGCCCTGAGGTGGGAATGTGCCAGATTGGCTGATGTGCTCAAGGCACCAGGGGCCAGTGTGGTTGAAGTAGAAGTGGTGAAAGCAGAGTAAACAGTGGGAGATGGGATCTGATTCTTTTTCTGTTTTTTTTTTTTTTAAGATATATTTATTTATTTATACAAGCACTGGGTACAGTTAGAAGTGCGGGAGGGTGAGAGAATTCACCAGAGCCAGAGTGGGGAGCAGAACAGGCAGACTGATGAAGTACACTGCTGAGGGGAGCAGCGGGCGCGGCAGGAGAGGTCTGTTGCGCCATGTGGGACCCTCACCGGGGGCCAGGGATCGGACTGGCTTGCAGAGGCTGAGGGCAGTTTCACAGCCCAGCGCTCAACCACTGCGCCACCAGGGGAAGCCCGGGATCTGATTCTTAAGGTCTTGTTCGCAGAGACTGTTATGGTCTTTTGTTTGAAAGGGTTTTTCTATCTGCTGTATTGTAAGCAAATGTGGGCAGTAAGGGTGGAATTGCTGAGCACAGTTAGAGGGCTTTTGCAGTTATTCAAAGGAGATGAGGTGGTGGTGATGTCTTGGACTAGGGTTGCAGTGATGGAGATGATGACAGTGTTGAGTTTTGGCAATATTGATCAGACAGAGCTAACATACCAGGATTTTCTGAAGGATTGGATGGAGTGGGGAGAGAAGGAAATGAAGAGTAGCTATAATGACTTGCACATACACACATCTAATCTGGAGACAAATGCTATTAACAGCTATATCTACCCTTCTAGATAGTTTTTATGTATATGTGTATTAGACATCTATTTTTTAAAGAAAAATGAAATCATACTAACTATGGTGTTTTATACCCTTCTTCTTTTCACTTAATGTATCTTGCACTTTTTTTTTTTTTAAGATTTATTTATTTATTTATACAAGTACTGGGTACAGTCAGAAGCGTGGGAGGGTGAGAGAATTCACCAGAGCCAGGTCCAGCAACAGAGCAGGCAGACTGATGAAACACACTGCTGAGGGGAGCAGCGGGCACAGCAGGAGAGGTCTGTGCACCATGTGGGACCTTCGCCTGCGGCTGGGGATCAAACTGGGGCTGCAGAGGCTGCGGGCAGCCCAATGCTCAACCTCTGCGCCACCAGGGGAGGCCCTATCTTGCACATTTAAATAATTGGTAGAATAGTTGGCAGTGGTTAACAACCAGATCCTGGGGTCAAATTGTTAAAACCCAACTATGCATGTAATAATTGGCCTAGCTGGGTTCTAACTCACTAGTTTTGTCACCTTCGACAAATAACCTCATCTCTGTGTTTTAGTTTCCTCCTCAATTAATGGGGACATAATAAAATCAACCTCAGAAGGTAGCTCTGAGGATAAATGAGTTAGATTTCTGAAGGTCTTGGTAAGAGCTTCTTAAGTGTTAGGTGCCATTCTCTTTCTGTGTTCATAAACACATGTGTACAACATGGGTTTACATGAGTTCCTCAAGTTGTGTTGTAGGGCTAGCCCATACAGATCCCCAAAGTATTCGCACTGAATTCTGTCTTAAATAATCTTTTTGTAGATTTCAGCACGCATAATGCTGGTCCATGAAGGAAAAAAAATAATTTCTTTTTCCTGGTGTATCTGTTTAAATATGTCTTTTAAAAAATGGCTTTAATTTAAATAACATCTTTTTTTCCCTGAAGGTCTCCATTTCTGGAATTATCCCAGTTTGCAGGTTACCAGCTGTATGGGAATGAAGAGGTCCCGGCAGGCGGCATTATCACAGGCATCGGGAGGGTGTCGGGGTGAGTCCTCTGCTACACTCATCAGTCAGAAAGGAGGCCCATGAGGCGCGGGCACTTTCTGCTTTGCATATTAGCATGCCAGTTTTTGCTGTTTATGTTATTCAGGACCAAAGCTTCCTATCCAGATAGGTATCAACCTATGCATCATTAGAGACAGAAATTGGAAGGAAAAAAAAAACAAACCCACAAAGATCCTGGGGGTCCCATCCACATCTCCCTATTTAATCAGAATCTCCAGGTGGGGACTTGGCCTGTTTAGTTTTCTTGGCTCTCCGGGTTATTTCTTGCATAACTAGGGTGAAAACCACTGTCTAGGAGAGTAGTTATCCGAGTGTAGTCCTCAGGTTGCATCAGCGTCACTCACAAACTTGTTAGAACTATAGGTTATTGGGTCTTCCCAAGAAATACTAAATCAAATGGAGGGGGTGGAGCCCCCAAAAGTGCTAAATCAAACTCTGGGGTGGAGCCCTACAGTCTTCTAAGAAGCCCTCTGGGTTCTTGAATGTTAGTTGTGATACCTGAATTGTCAGGTCTAGTCTCCCAGCCAGGAACGGATTCCAGGCTGCAGGGCAGTGCTGAGCCCCAGCCGCTAGACCCCCCACGGGTTGGTGTCTCACGAAGCCGCAGCAGGAACTTCGCAGACGCTCAGGCAAGCAAGCGAGAAGAGGCAGTTTGTTTAGAAAAAGAAGAAGTTTATTGAGGAGAAAAAGAACAGAAATAAAGTGGGACTCCCAGGCCAGGGAACCAGGCCTGGGAGGGGCAAGGAAGCCAAAGTGGAATTGTGTTTCAGGGAATATATACCTTTTTTCCCTCATTATTCTAAAACTTTACCAGTCTCTTTGTGATTGGTTAGTTTTCGGCTGTCTCACTTAATTTGCTACTGAGTGCGGGATCTTCACATTTCTTATCTAACAGCTTTTTCTTTCCCCATTAGTTGCATCTTTAAATTTATGGCCCAGTCCTCTGGATGGGCATCCCTGCATTGAAGTTAAACAGCTGCCCTTTTAATGTGACCATAAATTAAACCACTCTCCATTTCTCCAATCTCCGCCTCCCTTTACCACCTGAAGGAAACCAGGACCAGCATTAACAATGTTGTCCTTGGTCCTGGCATGTTTGTTTTTCCTAATGGAATTGGTTATATTTCTTTGGTTGTCCTTATCTCTGAAGCCTCCCTAAATTCTTCAGAGGTCCCCTCCTGCACTGTCCCTAAAACTGCCTAATAACCCTAGCTTGCCCTGTCTCAGTTGAATGTTAGTTGAATGTTAGCAGTTTAAAAACTGCTGTAGGCGTGTGAATCCAGTCTGCCGGATGCTACATGTATTTGTGTATATTTATGTGTGATTTCACGTTTGCAGGAAGATACCATGCCAGGAACTGCCCATTGTTGCCTGAAGCTGTTGTGAAACAGCTCTGAGAATGGGGACTAGTATAGTCATCACCATTCTGCAGATAAAGAAATTAGTTTTGAGAGTTAATTAACTTCCTCAAGATCAAGCCTAGGGGCAGAACTTGGCTTTGACCTCAGGTTGTTGAATTCTAAATGTGATATGCTTGATTCAGATGCTGGTATTTGTGTGTTTCTCCAATTTCTGCCTGTGATCTGTGCCTTCAGGGAAGGTATACCTGTAGCCATTTACCATTGTTGCTTCTTCCTTATTACCTTCCTTTACCTCCATATCTCCCCTGTGGCTATTTGGTTATTGTGATTTGCTTAATATTCATCCTGTGCGGAGCCATTTTTTTCTTGGACTCCTAAGGGATACCTAAAAATCTTTTTTAAAAAATGATGAACTAATGATGCAGAGTTAATCTAAATTCATTTATCACAGAAATGCATAGGTAGGATAGTTTTAATTTTACTTATAATCATAATGATTGTTAATATATTGGATCATGCTCTTTCACCTTTCCTGTACATGTACAAATATTTTCTCGTCGTGAATACTTTCCCTTTTTATTTTCTTGCTTTGTACCTTGTTCTCAGTTTTTATCCTCAACTTGGAAAAACATTGAATTTGCAACTGGGAACTGTACAGGTTCACGAATCTTTGGTTAAGCATCCTGGCCCAAGTGCTTTGGTACTCTTTGGTACTCTTTGGTACTGAGAGTGTACACACAGTTGGAATGAATGAATGAACAGTTGAGGTTCTACTCCTTAGTGTGGCCATTGGTAGTTTTAACCTAGAACTTCTCAGAGCCAAGGTCATGAAAAAAGTCACTAGTTCTATTACCAAAATAATAGATGCTGAGTGGGCAAAATGAATGATGTACAATACAATACATGTGGGTCTAATTTTATTTCTCACTTTGTAATGTGCATGTGTCCTTTTAGTAGAGAAGTAAAAGTGTCTATCTATTGTCCACATTCTTAGCATGTTGCAGAGCCACCGTTCCAGCCTCTTTTCAGTACAAGAGCTTTGTAAGTTCTGCTGGTGCAGCACCCACAGGATTGGGAAGTGTGAACACACTTTGGAGGTGTGGGCTTATAGCCCAGTATCTGCCATAAGTACCCTCTGAAGTCTAATTTGCTAATTGTTAAAGTAATGAAAAATTTCTTCCCATTCTATAAAACATTGCTTGTCATGTGGAAAAAGACCTCCTCTGACCTAGGGAATAAAACTGATACCGATATCAACTGCTGCCTGCTGCCACATTCTCTAAGATGAGCAGCACACTATAGGAGGCCTCAGTTTGGTTGCTGTTCTCTATTTTTTTTTTTAAAGATTTATTTATTTATACAAGAACTGGGGTATAGTCAGAGGCGCAGGAGGGTGAAAGAATTCACCAGAGACAGAGCGGGGAGCAGAACAGGCAGACAGACCGAAGACACTGCTGAGAGGAGCAGCAGGCGAGACGGGAGAGGTCTGCTGTGCCCATGTGGGTATCTCCCTGGCCGGCCAGGAATCGAACCTGCATTGCAGAGGCTGCAGACAGCTTCACAGCGTGGTGCTCAATCTGCTGCACCACCGGGGAGGCCCTGTTCTCTATTTTTAACAAGAATTCAGTGATTTACTTTTTTTTTAATGAAGATTTATTTATTTTTATACAAAAGCTGGGGTACAGGCCAGAGGTGCGGGAGGGTAAGTGGATTCACCAGAGACAGAGCCGGGAGCGGAACAGCAGAAGGACCGAAGTACACTGCTGAGGGAGCAGCGAGTGCGACAGGAGAGTCTGCTGCGCCATGTGGGATTCTCTCTGGCTGGCCAGACCGAACCCGCACTGTAGGGGCTGCGGACAGCTTCACAGCACTGCGCTCAACACGCTGCGCCACCGGGAGGCCCTGCTTTACTTTTTAAATAGAGAATATGAAGTAAAATAACAAAAGTGTCATGAATATAAAGATTAAATTTTGTAAAGAACATGTTGTTTTATCAAGTGTCACTGTGGCTGTAGTACCAGCATGCTGCTCCATGCCATTTCAAGTTCTCCTCTGTTGATACTTTAAGCAAGATAGATGTGTTTGAAACTTCTTTCAGTTTTATAGAAGAGCATATGGCAGTAACATTGAAGAACTTTTGAAAATCTGAAATATAAATACTCTTGATGGATTAGTTTTCATTTTTCAAATTCTCTTCCTAAGAGGAATCCTGAGGTTTATTATGAGGGATTTCCTCATCCTTGAGATTTGGGTTTTTGTGTTTTTTTTTTTTGGTATTATTATCTTGTTTAGGGTCCTTTCATTCAAAGAACTGTTATGAAATGTGTTGTAGGTTTTTAGTTGTTTCACTTTGATAGGACTGATGAGTCTTTAAAAATCAAACAAGAGCATAAGAAATTGAGGGTTGAATTGGAGTGTCTGGTATTGAGATGAAATTGGACTTTAACTTTGAAGAAATCTCTCACATTCTCTTTGCAACTTCTGTCCTCCAGAGTAGAATGCATGGTTGTTGCCAACGATGCCACTGTCAAAGGAGGTACCTACTACCCAGTGACTGTGAAAAAGCATCTACGTGCACAAGAAATTGCACTGCAAAACAGGCTCCCCTGCATCTACTTAGGCAAGTCTCGGGAGTTGTAAAACAAACTATTATTATTTTATGTAGTAAAATACAAGACCCTTCAGAAGGCTTAATATATGACATCAGCAGTAGATTTTTTTAGTGGTGTTCTAATTCAGGGTCATTGAGGTAAGCAGCTACCCCTGCTCTTGTCTTCTGCCAGTTTTCTGGGGTGCCCTTGGCTGCCTGGTGCTGGGTAGGATTCTATGGGCAGCAACACTAACCAAAGTATGAAACATCACCTGCTAAATGTTCTTCTGATTCATTAAAAAGAATAAAAATAGAAAGCAGTTGTCTGTGTTCCCAGATCAGCCCATGTGCTCGCTCTCCAGTGACTTTCTGAGGGAAATATGCATTTTTTAGCATCTGGAACTGAGTCTTCATGGACATTTTGTCCAAAGGATCCATATGTTTCCCTCCAATACTCTGTCAATGATATTTTTAAAAAGCTGTTGGTTTCTCCCATAATTGTAAAAGAAATAATGTTCTTTGTTAAAAACTCTGGGAGAAAATGGAAAAAGAGCTACTCATAATAGTATCACTGAGAAATAACTCCTAATAATATTTGATATATGCCAGGTTTTTTCCCTATGTACATGTGGAGCCTTTTTCTTTTATATATTTTATTTTTTTGTTAACTATAATGGGTTCCACCTATGAAAAAGCAATAGCTAACATTTATGGATTTTTGAGTGCTAGAATCTGTGTATGTTAAATGTAAAATGATTGGATCTTATATAATTTGAGCAGAAGTAAAAAAAAAGAAATTTCATTTTCTTTTTTTTTTTTTAAGATTTATTTATGCATACAAGAGCTGGGGTGCAGGCCAGAGATGCAGGGTTGGGGGTGAAGAGGATTCACCAGAGAGAGTGGGAGCAAAACAGGCAGATTGACTGAAATACATTGCTGAGGGAAGCAGTGGGCGAGAAAGGAAAGGTCTGCTGTGCCATGTGGGTCACCTCCCCGGCCAGGGATCAAACTCATGCTACAGTGGTGTGGATAGCTTCACAGTGCTGTGCTTAACCCCTTATACCACCAGGGAGGCCCAGAAATATCATTTTCAAGAAAAGTAAATTTATGTTTGAAATTAAAATAGATTTAAATCTAAAGCATTAAAAAAAAACAACAACAAGGCATTTAATTTGGTGCTTCCTGGATATTGGTTTAAAATCCCAACATATGCTGTCCATTTATGTGGGTGTTTAACAGCTACTGATGTAGAGATTTTTTTATTTGTGACAGTGAAAATACTAGGTGGCTTTTGCACACATGAAAACAGATGAGGCCCTGCTGTTTGTAGGTGCTGAAAACACTGTAGGGTTTGCAGTAAAAAGCACACATGGATCCTGTCTATGACAACCTTATAATGAATTGGAGACACAATATAATGTGTTAGATAACAATAAAAGGTTTAGTGGTTGTGTGCAGTGGTAGTGAGTATAGACCCAGCTAGCTTCCTCTGACAGTTACTTGTGCGCTCACAGAATGTGTTGAGCATTTGTCATTTCAAGTCATCTCAGACACCTATGGGGTAACTACTGTTACCTTTGTGTCATAGATGAGGAAGCCAAGATATAGAATGGTTAGGAAACACCTCTAATCACACAGCTGTAAAGTAGTGAAGTCTGTTTTGAACTCAGCTGGCTTCGTGCCCACTAGTAGACTATGTTGTGAAACGCCACCAGAAGGCAGTGTGTGACAGTGCACATAAATTCTGCAGATAAATTTTGTGTTGTTTTAAAAGAGGGAAAGATAATTTTTTTGGCTGAAATGGTTAAGAACTGATGGTGTTTCTTGAATTTTAGCTGGTCTTCAAGGGAAAGAGTGTCTCAAACATTTCAAGTAGAATTTTGCACAGTGGTAGGAGACCTTTGCCCATTGCTCCCCTCAGCAGTATACTTCAGTAAATTTACTTGTTCTGCTCCCACTGGGTCTCTGGTGAATCCTCTTACCTCCCGCACCTCTGGCTTACACCCAGTTCTTCCACGCCAAAAAAGAAAAAAAAAATTAAAGAGGTAGGATGACCTAATGGGGGATTGTGCAAAGAGGTGATAGCGTGTTTTAGAAGGATAGGGCAGGTTTTCTGTGATTGTGATTAAGAATTGCCACTGTCATTGATGCAGGTCTTGTGTGTGGCTTACTTTGTACTCACTTCTCATTTCTCTTGTCTTCAGTTGATTCAGGAGGGGCAAACTTACCTCGACAAGCAGAAGTATTTGCAGATCGAGAGCACTTCGGTCGCATATTCTATAATCAGGCAATTATGTCTTCTAAAAATATTACCCAGGTAATAGCTCGTTGATGAGATGTATTGCTTTTTGCTTTAAATGTCTTTGCTAATTAGGTATTTTTCAATGACATAAAATGGAATTTAGTCTTTTTCTTTTTTTAAAGATTTATTTATTTATTTATACAAGCACTGGGTACAGTCAGAAGCGCGGGAGGGTGAGAGAATTCACCAGAGCCAGAGCGGGGAGTAGAGCAGGCAGAAGGACCCAAGTACACTGCTGAGGGGAGCAGCGGGCATGGCAGGAGAGGTCTGCGCGCCATGTGGGACCCTCCTCCGGTGGCCGGGGAGCAGCCAGGGATCGAACAGGCACTGCAGAAGCTGCTGGCAGCTTTGCAACCCAGCGCTCAACCCCTGCGCCACCGGAATTTAGTCTTTTTCACAAAAAGTATCTTAGGGTTCTTTCCAAGATTCTTATGTTAATTATGCAAATACTCTTATACTGTATTTAAATATTCTCAGGTGTCACTTCATTTTTCCTTACCTAGCCTCACCTCCCCTCAGCCTCACTCATAGTTTTTAAATTTTGTCTTTTTTGCTTCATAGCTTGGTAATTGGTTTATGGGCTTAGTTAGAACAGGCACTGTTTATTATTCTTTTAAAAATGCATTTCAACCTGTAATGAAGCAAGATAGGACCTGGAAAGATAAAATCACTGCTGTGTGACTCTGATAAAGAGATTGAGGGAGCCACAAATATTCTGGGTAAGACAGACATTTTGTTTGCTGTGTAGATTTCAAATACCCAGTTAGCCCACATAGGCATGAGTACTGTAGGAATGTTGATCCATCAGTATAATGGGTAATGTTCTTAAATTCTTGATAACAATTGAATTAATGAGGTGAATTAATAATGTATATTTTATTACTTATTATTTTTTAAATTTTATTTTTATATTCCCCATACAATTGCAACCCCCTTATTTTGACCCCAATCCCTCCCCTCCCCGCCCCCCACCCTCATAGACTGTCTCTGGTTCATAGTTGTTTGTTGGTTATGATTTTCACTTTCTTTTTTTTTTTTAAAGATTTATTTATTTATTTATTTATTTATTTATACAAGCACTGGGTAGAGTCAGAAGCGCGGGAGGGTGAGAGAATTCACCAGAGCCAGAGCAGGGAGCAGAGCAGGCAGAAGGACCGAAGTACACTGCTGAGGGAGCAGCGGGCGGCAGGAGAGGTCTGCGCGCCATGTGGGACCCTCCTCTGGTGGCCGGGGAGCAGCTGGGGATCGAACCAGCGCCGCAGAGGCTGCGGGCAGCTTCGCAACCCAGCGCTCAACCGCTGCGCCACCGGGGAGGCCCATGATTTTCACTTTCTTATAGTTATTCATTTTCCTGGTCCCTTATTTAAGTTTTCTAGATTCCTGCTATAAGTGAGAGCATCCGGTATTTTTCTTTTTCTTTCTGGCTTATTTCGCTGAGCATGATCCCTTCCAGCGCCATCCATGTTGCTGCAAATTGCATGTGTTTATCTTTTTGAATGCTGAGTAATATTCCATGGTGTATATGTACCACATCTTCTTGATCCAGTCATCTATTTTTGGGCATTTGGGCTGTTTCCAAAGCTTAGCTATTGTAAACAATGCTGCTATAAACATAGGTGTGCTGGTGCCCTTTGGAATTAATGTTTCTGTGTCCTATGGGTAAATACGTAGGAGTGGAATTGCTGGATCATATGGAAGCTCTATCTTTAGTAGGTCCAGAAATCTCCACACAGCTCTCCATAGTGGTTGGACCAGTTTGCACTCCCACCAACACTGCAGGAGAGTTCCTTTTTCTCCACAACCTCACCAACATTTGTTGTTGCTACTTTTTTTAATATGTGCCATTCTCACTGGTGTAAGGTGGTATCTCATGGTAGTTTTGATTTGCATTTCCCTGATTACAAGTGATGTTTCATTTATTTCTGCTTGGTTTTTATTATTTCTTTTCTTCTACTGGTTTTGGGGTTTTTTTGTTGTTCTTTTTCTAGATCTTTGAGCTTCGAGATTAGGTTGTTTCTTTGAGTTCTTTCTTGTTTCTGGATGCGAGCCTCTATTGCTATATATTTTCCTCTTATTACTGCTTTTGCTGCATCCCATACATTTAGGAAATTGGTGTCTTCATTGTCATTCAATTCAAAGAATTTTTTAATTTCTTCTTTGATCTCCTCATTAGTCCAGTGGACTTCCAGTAGTGTGTGTTTCAATCTCCATGAGGTAGGAGAGTACCTTGCCTTCTTTTTATGGCTTATTTCTAGTTTGATGCCTTCATGGTCAGAAAAGATGGTTGGTATGATTTCAATCTTGGTGTATCTGTTGATGTTTGTCTTGTGTCCCAGTATGTGATCGATCCTGGGGAATGATCTGTGTGCACTTGAGAAAAATGTGTACCCAGATTTTTTTGGGTTTAGTGTTCTATAGATGTCTGTTAAGCCTAAGCTCTTTAGATCCTTATTTAGAGCTTTAGTGTCTTTACTTATTTTTTTGTCTCGTTGATCTATCCATTGTTGATAGTGGTGTGTTGAAGTCTCCCACTACGTATGTGTTTTCTCTGATGTCTGTTTTCAGAGTGACAATAATTGTCTGATATATTTTGGTGCTCCTTCGTTTGGTGAATATATGTTAATGAGTGTTATTTCTTCTTGAAGTATTGTCCCCTTGATCATAATGTAGTGACCTTGGGGTCTCTTTTATCTTTTTGAGTTTGAAATCTGTTTTATCTGATATGAGTATAGCTGTTCCTCCCTTCTTTTTAGGTCCATTTGCTTGTAGGATTGTTTTCCATCCTTTAACTTTGAGTCTATTTTTATCTTTTGCAGCTAAATGTGTTTCCTGGAGACAGCAAAGGTTGGGTTTTGTTTCTTAATCCAGCTGCGACTGTGTCTTTTTATTGAAGAGTTTAGTCCATTTACATTTAGAGTTAGTATTGATATGTTAGCATCTGTATTTGCCATTGTGTTTGCCTTTCCTTTGATTTTATTTATTTATTCTTTTAATAACTTTTTTTTTTTTTTTTGGCCTTCTTTTGTTGTTATTCGTCCCTCTGCGGTTCTGGCTTTGGGACTCCTTGTAGTATTTTTTGGAGTGGGGGTTTAGTCGTAATAAAATTCCAGAGTTTCTGTTTGTCTGGGAAGGTCCTTATTCTTTCTTCATAGAGGAAGGAGAGCTTTGCGGGATAGAGTATTCGTGGTTGGCATCTGTTTTCTTGGAGTCTGTTGACTATGTCCCTCCACTCCCTCCTTGCTCGTAGTGTTTCTTCGGAGAAGTCTGATGTCAGTCTGATTGGTTTTCCATTGAATGTTATCTGTTTCTTCCCTCTTGTCAGTTTCATTATTTTTTCCTTGTCTTGGATTCTTGGGAGCTTTACTATTATGTGTCTTGCTGTATTTTTCCTTTCGTCATGGAAGTTTGGTGTTCTTCTTGCTTCTTGTATATCAATTTTCAGCTCCTTCTTCACGTTTGGGAAGTTTTCTTCAATTATTTCCGTGAATATTTTCTCTGTTCCTATATCTCTCTCCTCTCCTTCTGGGATTCCTATAACTCTTATATTTCCTTTCCTCATGGAGTCAGATAGTTCCCGAAGTCTTTTTTCAGTCTTTTTCCTTCGTACTTCTCCTTCCTTTTCTGTTTTAGTTCTTTTTATTTCTGTGTCTTCAAGAGTACTTATTCATTCTTCCATTTCATCTATTCTGCTTTCATTGCTTTTCCCAGAGTTCTTTAGCGCCTCCATTAATTCTTTGATCTCCTGCATTTCTTTTACTTCTCTCTTTAGGGACTCAATTTCATTCTTCTGGTCATTAATTATTTTTCCCTTATCATTATTTTCCTTTATGACTTCTGTCAGTTTTTTAATCACGGCAGTTTTAAATTCTCTTTCTGGAAGGTTCAGAATGTCTTCCAAGTTACTGTCGTTGCAATCTGGTAGGTAGTTTTCTTTTTGTGGTGTGCTTTTTTCCTGAGGGGTTGCTGGGTTGCATGTGGTTTTTCTACTCCCTGCTGCCTGTTTTCTAATTTGCCGTATTCCTTGGGACACTGTGTTGCTGGTACTGACCGGCATTTTCGGCGAACTTCTCAGCTCACCTCTGGCTCCTCTGGGAGACTTCTGCTGGTTTCAAGCATTCTCTACTGAAGAAAGGTCCCTGTTCTAAAATGCTGATGTGGGGACACGCTCCCCTGTGCACCAGGTCTGTCCCAGCAGTGGGTGCAGCTCCCCTCTGGGCTGGGACTGCAGGCCAGAAGGGGCCTGGCTTGGGTGAGCCTCCCAGCTCACCTCTGGCTCCTCAGGGAGCCTTCTGCTGGTTTCACACAGTCTCCACCAAAGAGAGGTCCCTGCTGCAAAATGCCGGTGCCAGGGATGCACTCCCCTGCACACCCGGTCTGCCCCAGCGGTGAGTTATGACTTATTTTTTAATGGCTGCTCTTCAGGTAAAGGAAGAAAAAAATGTGATACAGGCGTTACCTGTTTTTCTACAATCACTTTGTGTTTGAAAGTGATGAGAGTTTAAAAAAGCATTTTATATTTACATTATTATATAAAATATCATTATATAGTTGACTCTTGAACAAAGATGGGTTTGAACTGCGTGGGTCCACTTACTTGTGGATTTACAGCATCTATATTGTTTTGTATTATATCAGACAGTGTTGATGTCAGTATGATAGAAGATTCATCTCGTACACAGACGATGCGAATTTAGGGTGTTGATAAATATAGCTCAGGGATTTTCTCTTTCATATGATTTTCCTTAATGATATTTTCTCTCCTCTAGCTTATTTTATTATAAGCATAAATATATAATACATATATGTATAATACATATTAAGGAAAAAAATGTGTCTGTTGACTCTATGTTATTGGTGAGACTTCCAAGTTTAGCAGCAGGTTATTACTAGTTAGGTTGGGGGAGTCAAAGTTATATATGCTTTTGACTTCCTGGGTGTGTGTGTGAGGGTGTCGGTGCCCCTCTTGTATTGTTCAGGAATCAATTGTATTTTTAATAGCTTTTCTAGCAAGCCATTGAAATCCCCATTCCCTACAACTTATGTTACACTTACAGTGTACCTTGAACTGGATAGTCTTCTGCAATTTTTCAGTGAAAGGGTGAAGGTATAGGGTTCACGAAGCTTTTCAGAATAAGGTAAAAAACCTCTTGACTTGTTCTCAGAGACTCTTTCTACAGGGCAGGCTGCTGACCTTCAATACGTAATTTGCCTTTGGTGTAATGAGAACCAATCTCTATTTGTGCAAGTAAGACCAGGAGGGTAATGGAATTTTGTCAAACATATTTCCAGACTATTACCTTTGTTTTTTAGCATCTGTTTTATTTTCACTCAAAAATTTACTGGTGTCTTTGGTGGCAGTGATGACAAATATTGTTACTGTTCATTACACATCATTTTTAAGCCTTTTTGCTGCTTTCTTGTTTTTGATTTAAATCTTTGAATCAGCAAGGACATCCTCACCCTGCCAGAGGGCTCTTTGGTCTTTCCCATCACAGAGCAGACTCCCCCTCCCCTGTGCTGGGTGGACTATAGCCACTCACATGTCTGAGTAGAGATCTCAGGAGCTGCCTTGTCCTGATGTGGATGAGCGTTGCTTTGGTGTCTCTTCCAGCTAGAGCCTGGGTTGTGCCTTCCGTAAAAACCAAACCTCTACCTTTGAGTGTTGTCAGAACAGTTTGTGGTCCTCGTTTTATGTCCTTTTAATATCTTCTTAGTTGAGAAAGCAGAACTTGATTTTTGGATTCCAGATCATTTGCCCAAGTGAACTCTGGTGCAGTCCAGGCTAAGGTCTTTGTGGTACCAAGGATGATGCTTTGGGACATGGAAAGTGGTCCCTGCTGGTTTGGCCCTGGGGTTCCTGTGCTTTGTGAGGGAAAATTTTAGGTCCCTGCCACACCATGGGAGACGCCTTTGCTGGTGCACATTTACTTTCTTTTGTGAGTGAGTGAATGGCTCATGATTAAATGATGAGAAGAGATTGTGTGAGTGGTGACTATTTTTTTTCAATCACTCTTCTTTATCTATATTTAATTTTTATTTCTGTGATCAGAATTTGCTTTTGCAATTTTAGTTTTATGCCTGTTAGTTACTTGTAACTAGAGTAGACTCTCTTTTTTCCGATGAAAAATTTGAGAATTTTTATTTCTGTTTGTTTAGTAAAACTGCCTTTCAAAGTATTTTTAATAACAACATGATTGAAATATAATTCACATACCAAAGAATTTACCCAAGTAATGTGAATCCCCATTAGGGCATTTACAGAACTGAATCAAATTTGGAAGATCTTCATTACCCCAAAAGAAAATACCACATCTATTATTAGCGGTTTTTTCCCATTCTCCCCAGTCCTCCTTAGCCCTCTGGAAACCCCTAATCTACTTCTGTCTATTGATTTACCTAGTTCTGGACATCTCAGGAAAGAGAGCTACATAGTGAGTGGTCTTTGTGTCTGGTTGCTTTCACTCAGCATGAGGATTTCAAGGTTAAGCTGCCTGCACAATCTCCCACCCTTTTCTGAGCCCATACCTCGTATATAATGTACTAGCCAGTTTAAGAGAAGAGGATTTTTAAGTACTGTAGAGAAACACATCTGAAGTATGCTTAAAAATATGGTCAAATTCCCTGAAGTAATGATTTGGCAGCTATTCACTTTTCTACTAAATTGATGGGCTTTTTCCTCCTCTCTGACATGACACGACAGAATCATTTCATTTCCCTCAGTTTTGACTTACTGCATTTTGACAAAATCATACCTGTTTTTTTAAAAAAATTAATTTTCAGTTGAGGTAATATTTGGATACCCCCATCAGGGTCTCCTCTTTTTTCTCCCTACCCCCTCCTCTACTCACATTCTTGGTCTCTGAATATTCTGATAGTTGTTATATTTTCTTCTTTTTTTTTTTTTTTTTTTTTTGTTCATTAATTGTTTTCTTGGAAATCTGTTATGTCTATTTAGTTTTTTACATCTTATTTTTGAAATTGTCCCCTTTTATTTTTTAATTTTTTTTTTTATTTTTTAAAGGTTTATTTATTTATACAAGCACTGGGTACAGTCAGAAGCGCGGGAGGGTGAGAGAATTCACCAGAGCCAGAGCGGGAAACAGAAGTGGCAGACTGAGGAAATACACTGCTGAGGGGAGCAGCGGGGCGTGGCAGGAGAGGTCTGCAGGCCATGTGGGACCCTCACTGGGGCTGGGGAACGAACTGGCACTACAAAGGTTGCAGCGCTCAACTGCTGCGCCACGAGGGGAGGCCCTGAAATTGTCCCCTTTTAGATTCTTAGACCATTGTGACTTTTCCCTAAGTCAAATCCCTTGCCCTTTTTTTTATACTGAAATAATTTGAATGGATTCTGGTGTTCTGTTTCAGAGACCAGGCTGATAAGGTGAAATCATATCCTTCTGTCATCATGGAACCTTAAAAAAAAAACAAAAAAAAAACAGGAGGCTGGAGAGGGATCAGAGGGAGGAAGGGAGGAGCACAGGGGACTGAGGTGATGGTGCACCGGTACATTGGGGAAAGAAACTCTATGGGGGCTATATCTGAGGGGGTGGGGGGAAGCACATACTGTTTCAAAATGAGCAATGATGTAAAAATAATTAAAATTAAAATAAAATATATAATTAAAAAATAAAATTAAATTTAAAAAAAGAAACAAAAAACCCCAAAATATATCAGACATTCACAAAGTGTAGTAAATAATAAAACAGAAGCACTCTTTCACTTAGTATTAATATTTCATTTGTTATTTTTTTTTTTTTTAATTTATTTATTTATACAAGCACTGGGTACAGTCAGAAGAACAGGAGGGTGAGAGAATTCACCAGAGCCAGAGCGGGAGCAGAACAGGCAGACTGATGAAGTACACTGCTTAGGGGAGCAGCGGGCGGCAGGAGAGGTCTGCGTGCCATGTGGGACCCTCGCCTGTGGCGGGGATTGAACCAGTGCTGCAGAGGCTGCGGGCAGCCTCGCAGCCCAGCGCTCAACTGCTGCGCCACCGGGGAGGCCCTTCATTTGTTATTTTTTCCTCAGGTTTTTAAAAACTTATTCATGCACCATTTAGCCATTCAAAATATCGTTAATTGCATTATTTGCCTATGTTTTCTACTTCAACACTGTTATAAATGAATGTTTCCTTGTGCTACATAGGCAAGAGGTTCTATATCATAGGTATCTTCAAGCAAACTTTTGGGTGATTGATAGGCAAAAAGCAGTTAAGTGCTAATACTTCTATGAAATATTGGCAGATAACTGTCTTAGCCATTTTTAATAACATAAGTGAAGTAGTTAGGGAAATGTCCTTTGTAATTTATCATTTTAAATAGAAAAATATTACTAATACTGCCTTTCATTTTTGGATTAATGGTAGTATGACTTTTTGCATTTCAAAAAGAGACATTCTGTGACTAAGAAACTGATAAAATTTGGAATTAGTTGCAGAATTGTTTTCATATACTTAAAAACATGTCATTACATAGTTCTCTTATTTGTCTTTGTGATATTATTTCCTATCTCAGGTTAATCAGCCAAACCATATTTATACTTTGTGTCATACTTAATCTCTAAGCAAGAATATAAAAAATTTTTTTATTATGGAAAATTTTCAAACCACAGAAGTAGAAAAATATTGCAAGACTTTTTTCCAGCAAGATTTTAATTGTGGTGTTTATGTTAGCTATTGTTCGTGAGCATATTCAAGGTAACACAAAGTATTAACAGAACTCATTTGGAGAGTTAGTTCAGTCAGTGCTCCCTGAGGTAAGTGGCAGTTATTTGAGAGCTTTTATTATTGTTAAATTTAAAAGTTATCCCTTTAACATAGTTTTACTAAACCATGGGTATTTTTTCAACCTTTAGTTCTCAGGCTAGCAAACTATCTGGCTACTCTTATCTCTGAAAAAAAATGTCTTTAAAAAAAAAAAAAGTGTGACATAAGCCCTTCAAAATGCTTTGAGAGAAGAAAATAATAAAATGTTTAGAGGCCTCCATTTTAAAAATGATGTCTGGGGACCTGCTAATAATACCCTTGGTACTGAAACTTTGTGGGGCCCAAAAGTTGTGTTATTCACTGAACTGTACCTAATGGCTGTGTTGTGTGCTTGTGTTCCAGATAGCTGTGGTCATGGGCTCCTGTACAGCAGGAGGTGCTTACGTGCCTGCAATGGCTGATGAAAACATCATTGTGCGCAAACAGGGCACCATTTTCTTGGCAGGGCCCCCATTGGTAAGAGCATAGTCTTGATTGATTGATTGAAATAAAATACATATATACAAAATTTACCTTCCTAACCATTTTTCAATTGTTCTTAAAGTATTGTGCCAAAATATACATGACATAATTTACCATTTTAAGTCTATGGTCTATGTTCAACATATAAATGAGACCGTCTGTCATTTGTCTTTTTCCTTCTAACTTAATTTCACTTAGCATTGTCTTTTTTAGGTCATTCCATGTTGTGGCAAATGGCAGGAGCTCATCCTTTTTATAACTGAGTAGTATTCCACTGTGTGTGTGTGAATGTGTGTGTATAGCATTTTTCTGATCCACTCCTATACACTTAACCTTGTTCAGTAGTCTACCATTAAAAGACCTTGTGTACGGGTAGATTAAAAAGAAGCAGTAACAGCCTCATCTGTTTGAGAATTCTAAATTTTGATGCTTGTTTACTGAAAGTTGAGACAAGGCTTTGTAGCTTTCACACGTAATGTGGGGTTGAGTTGCTATAGTTTTCAGTAGCTTAAGGTGTTTGAAAAAAATGCGTAGTAATAACACAAATTTTTGAAAGGGCTTTTGTTCTCCTCCTGTCTTTTGTTTATTTTCTGAACTTGTTATTTAGTAGAGTGAGTTGCTTTTATGTTCTCTATGACTTTTATCATCTTTGTACTTATCACAGCATGAAACATATTATAGGTGTTGACTGAAATAAACATAGTATATCTGTTGTTTACTCCCTTTCACAACTTAAATATCCAGACACTTCTTGTAATTTGCTATTGTCGGACTGAATGTTATTTTATATTGAACTTTTTTGTAAGATGAGAGCCAAGAGTTTAGTACTGGGGGGTGGAATAATTGGAGGTGAAATTTTTAATCACCTCTCCCTGTGGAATAATATTTTATTTAAGACAGAGCTTTTGATTTAGTGAGTAATAAGTCCTTTCTATGCTGTATTTTTAGATTAATATTCATTATTCTTAAAAAAGCATTCCCTATTTGAGGAAAAAGAAACAAATTAGCCAACCCATAGAAGTAGGAGTCAATAAGTAATTCCCAAGTTAGCCATTTGGCATTTAGCACTAAATGATTTTTCATTCTTTTTCCTGTTAGAATTTCACAGACTATAATTAAGTCATCCTTATTTATTAATTGAATTCTTTCTTTTTGATCATACTCTACTGAGTCTTTGATGTAAGTAATCTTGGAGATTCCCCCCTTCCCTATTTTACAGATATTATACCTTTAAGATTTTGTGATTGTAACTGAAATTTATCAGCATAGGCAAAATAAAGGCCTTCAGTACATTTATTGATTGTTCAAAGATGGATAAATCACAATTCCTACCATAAAGGAATAGAGGTTAAAGGAGATAACAGATAGATGCAAATTATTGCAATACAGTCTGGCAGGTGCCCGGCTGGAGGCATAAGTGGGATACTGCTGGATCACAGATGAGCAGGCACTGCTGTGTTGACATGGTGGTGTATTCATAATGAGAAGGCATGGGTGGGTCAGGGAAAGTCACATAGAGTAGGTGACCTGAGGTGGGACCTGAAGGATAAGTAGGCGTTCACCAAATGGTGAGAGGGAGAAGGGGCCCGGCAGTGGAAACAGCACGTGTAATCACAGAGGCATGTGTGTGGAGGCAGCCTAATATAGGGGAAAGAGAGAGGGTTTTCAGCCATAAATGCCTGCATTCAAACCAGGTTCCTGTACTTGCTCAGGACTGGAGTTCTGAATTTTCTGCGCCCCCTGCCAAAGATTTATTTATTTATTTATTTATTTAATTTATACAAGCACTGGATACAGTCAGAAGTCTGGGAGGGTGAGAGAATTCACCAGAGCCAGAGCGGGGAGCAGAACAGGCAGAAGGACCGAAGTACACTGCTGAGGGGAGCAGTGGGCATGGCAGGAGAGGTCTGTGCACCATGTGGGACCCTCGCCAGTGGCTGGGGATCGAATCGATGCTGCAGAGGCTGCAGGCAACTTCGCAACCCAGCGCTTAACTGCTGCGCCACCGGGGAGGCCCCCCGATTTTTCTTTTGTGGACTGGAGATACTGTTCCCTAGCTTGCTGGTCGGTGAGAAGAGAAAATACAGTGTTGTTTAGCCCCATGGAAGAAGGAGTGGGAGGTTAGTCGGGTTAGATGTGTGTGCTCAGTAGGCATTTGTGTGTCTTGAACAAATCTCACCTTCAGCTTTTATCTTCCTTGCAGGTCAAAGCAGCAACTGGAGAAGAAGTGTCAGCTGAGGACCTCGGAGGTGCTGATCTTCATTGCAGGTGAAAGAGAACGGGTTGTTTCCTTCCAGAATTGATTGATTGTTTTTGTTCAAAAGAATTTTAAATTCATTTTTCCAAGCATTAAACTTGACAGATCAAACAGCAGTTTATTTGTTCTCCATCGATTGTTTTAGGCTTCAACCCTTTGTACTGTAAAGTTACATTTCCAAGTTAGAAAGTCACCTTTTTTATTATAGCCTAGAGGGCTGGAGAGACTCAGTTTTCTTGTTTATTTAACAGATATCCATCAAAAACCTATTATTTGCCAGTCACAGTTCTGGGTATTCAGGATAATTAGATAGACATTACCTTTGACTTCAAGGAGCCTACTGTCTAGTTTGGGAGGTAGGCAATAAATAAATAATTACCAAACAATGTTAGACATGTGAATTTATGATAAGGCCTATAAAGAAAGCCTACAGAAGATGGATGGAACCCAGTGGTGTGCAAATGTTATGACTTTGTTGAATTAACATTTGTCAGGTGTAGTACAGGCTGCTGATGTGAGTTATGGTTCAACAGATCACAAAAGAAATTGAAATAAAAGAAGTTTGCTCATAGGTCCTGGAGGAAATATATGGCATGCCTCCAGGGGTCACATGGAGAAGTCAAGGCAAAGTGTAGACAGAGAGACAGGAGCTGGGGCACATGTCCTTATGAGGACCTACGGGTAGAGTGCTAAGGCAGGAACCGTTAGCCTCAGATGAAAAGAGCAGTGTTTTTGCAAGTCCCACAGGGTTCTTATTAAGGGACACATAAGCCATACAGACACTGGGAGACGGGGGAGGCTGTTGATCACAGATGCGTTGGAGAAGTCAACATCTGCTTGTGACTACAGCTGCTCTCCAGGGCACGTGCTTGTGTGAGGGCTTAGCAGAGCAATTCTTCAGGTCAGACACTAGGCAGAAAAAGACCATCTACCTCACAAAATCTCATAAGGATTTAATGAGATGATACATGTACAACAATATCTGCTTTAAATAAGTACTTATAAATGTTAACTGCCACTATTATGTTTGTTGTTGCTATGAACATAGCTGGTCATTAAAGATTCCTTTGTCAGAGAGCAATTAGGAAACCACTGAAGATTCTAAGCAGGGATGTACTGTTATCAGATACTTCATTTAAAAAGCTCTATGCTATGCTAAACGAAGGATGCTTGGAGTGTTGGCAAGAGACAAAATGCGAGACCAGTTGGGTGACTATGTCAGTATCACAGGTGAGAGATTTGGGTAGTTTAGCTGGTTATGGTGGTGGAAACAGTAGGGAGTGAACAGATTTGAGCTCTATTTTAGAGGTGGAATTGAGAAAGTTGTTGAATTTCACATAAGGGAGGTGACAAAGATGATGACTTGAAATAATTTCATTTCCTGAGACCAGGAAGAAGGGAGGGGCAGAGGGATGGAGTATTTTTTTGACCTGATAAATTACAGATTTGAGTATTCAGTTAACGATAAGAAACTGGAGCCAGATCAGTGCAAGAGATCTTTATTTGGCAATTACTAGTATAGAGATAGAATTTAAAACTGTGAGCGTAATCAAGCTTACCTCTGGGTGAATGTAGATAGGGAAGAGCCTGGGCATCAATGGCAAGTGGATCTCAGGGCCCGGCAGGTGCTGTAAACCCTTCATTGCTCTCCCAAACCACAAAACAGGGAGACAAGCAGTTATGGGAGCAGTCCAATAGGTGGGAGAAGGAAGGTAGATTAACATCTCTACTCTCCTGTCAGGCACTGTGGTGCCTTTTGAAGAAAGACTCAGTTAAGGGAGTTACCTTTGCCTGTTTTGCATCCAGGTCTTTCTCTGTGAGCACTTATTATGGACAGATTGATTGTTCTAGGTGTTAGGAGTAGCATGGAAGAATTTTAGGTCTGCAGGAACATAATTAGGCAGATAAAAGAAATACATGAATGAACTAAAAACAATTAAAAAGTAAATGTGCTCATCTGTATCCAGTTTACAGCTGGAAGGTAAAGAAGGAACAGGGAAGGAAATGCCTGGAGTGGGGTTGAAGAAGCCAGAAAAAGGCTTACAGAGGAAATTTGAATTTGCACAGAATACTTATTTGTCTGGTGAACACAACTGTATGCGTGACTCTCTTACCTGGCCACTTACCAGCTGTTACTGGTAGACGGCAGAATGCATGATACGATCTAGAGAATGAGGATGCGGATCGAGTAGCCTGACTGGGGTCTAGACAAAGTGGGCCACCATTGTTTGTAGCTTCTTAACCAGAGGAAGGTGATGGTAGTATCTGCGGAGCCTTTTTTTTTTTTTTTAAACTTTTGACAGTTTAAAGTAAGTAATCTGGTGTCCATAAAAGTTGAAGGCTGTATATCAAGTTAGACATGTAGGTTCTGGAATTAATCTTACATTTGCTTCACTTATTACCTTGGTGTCCAGATAATTTACTTAACCGCCCCAGCCTCGTTTCCCTCTATGTAGAATGAAGACACGAGTAGTTCTTACCTTGGATTGAGCACAGTGTCGGGTGCATACTAAGCATTCTATTACCACTAGCTGTTGTTATTAATAATAACCTATTTAAAATCATGGAGAAATAATTAGGTGGTAATTGCTTCAGTTTTTTTTTTTTTTTTTTTTTTTTGGAACCATGTCATAAAATTTATTATCACAAATTGCTTTGGGTTCTGTCTGTCTTTAAAAGTACATATTTATACCTCTTTGATTAGTCATCCTTGGGAGTTAATTTGACACAGACTTACATAATATGGTGGATCATCAAAAGTTTCCTTTTCCTGCTGTTTCGGTAAAATACTGGGCAATTTTTAAAAGAAAGCATTTTATTTTATATATTTATGGATTTGGAAGCAATTCCTTCTGCTTCTGTTTGCTCACTGAATTACTACAGTGTAGCTCGAAGTCAGTGATTCTAGCTGGTATTATGTGTCAAGCATTAAAGATGGTCAGTTGCAAAATATATTAAATCAAAGAAGCTGAAGAGTCTACCATCTGCCCAGCATTGGAGAACTGTAACAAGGGGTAAATAAGGTTTTGCTCTTATTTAGGAATACCCAGGTCACAGGTGGAGACTGGCTTGAAACCACCATGAGAACCCAATTCTATGGATTGTCTCCCAAGGGGTTGGCCCACTTTGTCTAGACCCCACTCAGGCTATTCTGTCCACATCGTCATTCTCTAGATTGAAATGTCCATTCTGCTTTCTACCTGCAATACTCAATAAGTGGCCAGGTAAGAGAGTAATGCTGCATGTCCCTAGTAGAAAAGACATCAAAATTTAAATGACATCAGCACAGTCCTTACTCATAAAATGAATTTCAAGTACATATTCTTACCCAACTTTACAGTTTTTGAATATTTTATTAGAAAGTCATAGTTCATGAGTAAACCATCTAGTCAGAACAGAACTAATAACCAGAGCAAGCCCATGCTTCATGCACACCCAACTTATAATTGGATAGGAACTTCCATGGCACTCATCACAGAACCATTTTGTCAATACTCACTTATATGCATGATCTAAAGGACAGTGTCTTCAAGCCTTTGTGTATGTTACCTATGACAGCTTATTCTTGGGATGTAAGGCGGGGTCTCAGTAGTCACTCAGAAATGGGAGGTCATAGATGATATCTTCATTAGGAGCTGTGTTAGGTACAAACACTTTTTTCGTTATACCAACCTCATCATAAAAGTATGTTGTCTGTGGTTGAATCTTATCGTATACAATTTTGCTTGAGGTAATTGGGATGAGCATTATATAGAAGTCTTCATTGGCAAGGCCCTGTGGTCTCTTAGGTCAAAATTGAGAGATAGAAGATGTGGCATCTTAGGAACCACTGGTGTTAATTTTATGTACCTCCCTTTCTCCAGTTTGTAAAAAAACAAACAATTGCCCTTGTTTTATCAGGGACATTAAAAGGAGTAAATTATATGTTTACTGAAGTGTTTTGCACTTATTTTGTTTTACTTTTGCTTTACTCTGTAGAAAATCTGGGGTAACGGACTACTATGCATTGGATGATAATCATGCCCTTCACTTAACTAGGAAGATTGTGAGGAACCTAAATTACCAGAAGAAGTTGGATGTGAGTAGGATATGATCCTTTATCTTTTATCTTACTGAAAAGCATCTTGACTTACATTGCCTCGAAATTATGTCTTTAAACTGGTTAAAATGATTTTTCTATATTTCTGCAGGTAACCATTGAGCCTTCTGAAGAACCTTTATTTCCTGCTGATGAATTGTATGGAATAGTTGGTGTGAACCTTAAAAGGACCTTTGATGTCCGAGAGGTATGTAAAGTGGAACCAAGAGCTGTTAATCCAGCTGTCAGTCCCTTTATATCCATCCATCTTCAAAGCTAAAGTCTGTTTAGATGTGTCCTGCCTAGATGTGTCATGTTGTGGATCTCAGTAAAGATGTAAGGGAAAGATATCTTTCCATAGTGCAGGTGTTGTTATAGGGCAACCCCGATATAAAACGGGTTGCCTGGCTGTGGGTCCTCACCCCCGCCCTTACAAGGGACTTATTAATACTCCACTACAGGCACACACAAAAGGTTAATAAAAGGTTTATTTACAAGGGAAAGGGAATTAAGGAAATGTACAACTCAGGGAGAAAATAGGGAAATAAAGTCTTTAATGCGTCCTACCCTATCTGCCGACCTGGAGACCCAAAAAGCACTCTCTGAGCTGGCTGGAAGCTGTGAGCTGGCGGAGAGTCAAAATGGGGGACCCCTCCAAAGCCCACGTGTCTGGCTTTATACCAACATGGCTGCTTAACCCCACCCTCAGGTCCCAGCCACCTTCCCTTTGGTGGTGATGGGATTTGGAATTTCCAGTGTCTTTGGCTTTGGCCTGGGGTGGGGGGTGGAGTCCTCAAAGCCTGTATGGAATTAGCTTTAGGACATCTTTTTCCCCTAACAGTATCCCTGGTGTACAGTAAATTCTGCAAAAATGAATGAATGAATGAATGAATGAATGAATGAATAAAAAGGGAGACCCTTTCATTGCACAATGACAAAACTTGGCTTGTTCTAAATAGTACTCCATATCCCTGTTGACATTAGGAAGGACACATTTGGCAACTTCACAATTTTCAGCTATTTCTTTTCAGCATTCTAATTCTGGGAAATGTGTGAAATGTCTATTAGTTGTTGGAAAAAAATACCCTTTAGATCAATATGACAGTAGCAAAGAGTAGATTTTGATTACAGTTAGAGACTTTACTCTGAATACAGATTGTTAACAGTCTTATGTAGTCTAGATTGGCAATTTTTAGCTCTTGCATGTAGTCTTTCATTTTGTTCAGTATCCATATTGAGCACAATAATTTTTAAATTAGGATATTATCTTAAGATCAGATTCTATGCGAGAAGCTTTAATATTTTAAGTTATTTTCTCCCTTGACTATAAAGTTAATATGTACAGATGTGAAAAATGTAGAAAATACAGGCAAAAATAACGTTGTTTTTAATCTTACCACCTGACAAAGCAGCTACTAATTTGATGTTTTGGTACCTTGTGTATGTATACGTTTTTATGTAGTTATGATAGTACAAACATACACATATTTTCAAATTCTTCTTTTCCTGCTTGAATTATAAGCAGTCCCCTATTCTTTAAATATTTTTCATGCAACACTTACCTTGGCTAGATTCTAATTCCTGTAATAGTGCTTGCAACATGTTAGACTAGGTTCAGCACTTTTGTAAAGTATTGAAAGGTTCGGAGTGGTAAAGAAGAACCAGGCCAAGTTTCTCAAAGGCAGGGAAAATTTATTGCGCCCCTGGGTGGAATTCACGGTGAAGTCATACACGTTGCCAGGGGGAGGCAGGCTTTTATAGGGTGAGGAGAGATCAGGTAGGAAACTGGATTTGTACGGAGGGAAAAAGTTTGTAGGGCCCGAAAAGATATGTAGGGCGGGGAGAGGCTCATTGTCTGATTTTTCTAGGCAGGCTTCCGCATTCCTGCCCCCAAGTGGGCTTCCTGGTGGGCTTTTGCATTCCTGTCCCCTGCATTGACCTTTCAAGTATAATCGTGTTGTTTTTTTTTTTCCCTAAATCTACATGGAAATTGAGGCTTAGAGATTTTAAGTACCAGCCTATGAGTCTACTTTGCGGTGGCAGAGCGGGGAGTCAGTGCTGATTCTTCATCTCAGAATTATTTTCTTAGGTTCCTTCCCTACTAGTTCCTCACATTTTCACAACATTGTCTCATCTTTGCAGAGTGAGAACTGACCCTCAGAGGAGTTAAGTGACTTTTTGATTAAATCCTTGAGCCTTCCCCCATATATTTCAGCAGCCCCAGCAGCTCTCAGTCTAGCCACCAGCCACGAAGTCTCTTCTGCTTCTCTTGTCTGCAACATGATGCTGTTGATTTTGTAGTAAAGTATAAAATCAGAGCCCACAATGACTTCAGGCCATTGCTTTGCATGTAAAGTGAAATTCTAGTGAGAAGAATTTCTGTGTAGGGGAAATTTTGTGGAAACAACAATATCACCATGAGTTTGTTTGCCTTATATATAACCTTAATGCAAAAATTCTTTTGTTGTATGATTTCTCAGGAACATTGTTATTTTTCTTCTTAGGTCATTGCTAGAATTGTGGATGGAAGCAGATTCAGTGAATTCAAAGCCTTGTATGGAGACACAATAGTTACAGGTATAAAGATGAAGTATTGAAAATATGACTGATTTCTGTTGCTTTGAAAATAAGTGGTCTCTTAAGGCTTTGATACTCTTGGCATAAGCTTTGTTATTTAGAACAGCACAAATGTGTGAGTCAGTATTCAAAAGGAGCTGTTTTGTAAAGATCATTTGTAGTTGAATGGCCTCATGAATCCAGAGAATTTGAAATGATGATGACTGTTTGCTGTGATATAGGCCCTTGTCCTTGACTTTGTGGCTTTAGCTATAAAAAGATTCTTAACTGTAGTAGAATTAGCAGAAGTATTTGTAGTTCCCTCTGTTTCTCTAGATAATGCTAATTACTTTGAAAATTTCACACTGTCTCCTTTGTTCTTTCGTCTCCAATGAGACTTAGAAGTTTTCTGTGATGATTCACTTTCCCAGAAGGAAGCAGAGTGAATTAACCCTTCTCACAGCCTCAAGGCAGACCTAATGTCGTGCAAATACCAGGCAGAGAATATGGAATACCAAGTCCGAGGAATCAGATTAGGCTGTTTATAAAAGTTAATTCATTCATCTAAAGTGTTAACTTTATAGACCTTTGGAGAAAAGGATTTGAAAGATAGACGCTAGGCTCATGCTAATCTCATAAAATTTGTGAATTTTATTTGGTCTTGCAAAGGCTGGAACATGTAGTTGTTAATATGAATACAACATATCAGAGGAGAAAAAACTAGCTGCAGACATCCAAATTGCCAGTGCACATTGAGACTTCAGGATAAGTCACAACACTTGGTCTTGATTTATGGGTGAGAGAGGGTTCACTCTGCTACTGGAATTTATGTTTTTGTTTGAGGTGTTTAAGTGATTAAGAGCTTTTTGTTTGATATATAGACAGGATTTGTCACCCAGTAGTTGAGGATGTAACCCTCATTGTGTAGCAGCTTAAAACAAGTAAAAGCTTTTTCTGCTTCTTTCTCAAAGATGGATGGGGCTGTCCTCAGTATTTATTTTTATGTATTTGCTCCATATGTTATAGGGCAGGGAGAAGGGTAGTCCAAACCCCGCAAACCTGCCTATTCTATGTAGGGTTCTGCCATCCGCCGCATCAATACAAAACATATGAGACTTTAATGGGAAAGAACTTTAATAAAACTAGGAAACAATACAGGAAAGGCAAAGAGTCTAGTTTCTAAATGAAGCACCCAAAGTTACCCTTCCCCTCGTGGGTAAGAGTCCATCCAAATGGGAATGGCCCAGAGCAAGGCCCCAAAGCCTGCCACAAGTCTAAAGCATCTTCCAGTGGGGACCCACAGAAAAGGGTCAGAAACAACCAGACAAGCCCGGAAGGAAAAGAGCAAAATCAACATCAAGATAAAAGCTGCCATTGTCACCTCCCCATGGGTCTCACCCACATCTGTGTCACCCAGTCCACCACCAAAAGACAAGCGCAGTTTCTTCATGTGTCTCTAGGCTCCATGCGCCTCCTTCAGGTCTCCTGGCTCCATCCTGCTTCCTTCCTCAGTCTCTTCTGCAGCTTCTTCTCTCCCTGCTCAGCTCCTCCCTCCCTTGGGTGTGGCAGGGAACCTGGAACTTCCCCCTTTCCTGGGGACCACCCTGTTACATATACATGCTAAAAGACTTGTGGCATTGTTATAGGGCAGCCCCTATTGAACGGGTTGCCTGGCTGTGGGTCCTCACCCGCGCGCTTAAAAGGGACTTATGAATACTCCACTACAGGCACACACAAAAGGTTAATAAAAGGTTTATTTACAAGGGAAAAGGAAATAAGGAAAATGTACAACTCAGGGAGAAAATAGAGAAATAAAGTCTTTAATGCGTCCTACCCGATCCCACGACCTGGAAACCCAAAGGCACTCTCAGAGCTGGCCGGACGCTGCGAGCTGGTGGAGAGCCAAAATGGGGACCCCCCCCCAAAAGCCCACATGTCTGGCTTTATATCATCCTGGCTGCTTAACCCCACCCTCAGGTCCCAGCCATCTTCTCTTTGGTGGTGATGGGATTTGGAATTTCCAGTGTCTTTGGCTTTGGCCTGGGATGGGGGTGAAGTCCACAAAGCCTGTATGGAATTAGCTTTAGGACATCCTTTTCCCCCTAACAGCATCTTTGTCTCCTAGAATACCAGGGGTAGATCTCCTTTCCTCTGTCTCTTCTTAATTGTCCTGGAATACAAGTTAGGTTGGGGAAAGGGAAGAGGAATGAAAAGAAGAGGGGAAGGAGAGGGTGAGGGGGAATGAAGAGGGCGAGGACATTGGCTGGATTCCCAGTTCCTTGTGGTGGGTTGGGATGCAGATTGCCTTGCTAGACCATTTGGGAGATGCAGCAAAGGTGTGGGCTGGCATTTTAGGTCTGAAAGACCAAGAAAAATCTAGGTGACTGTCAAGTCATTGTTTCACTTTATCACCCTAAATTAGCCGTTTAGAAAATAATAACAAAGTAAGAGAAGGCCAGAGTGAAGAATTTAGTGTTCTGGCTAATTGTAGGTTGACATTCTCTCTTATCCATTTTTTTTAAAACAACTTTTGATTACTTGCTGCCTGTCAGTCACCACATAGGCTATGCCTGTCCAGCTTGTCCTTGAAGACAGGGCCTTGTTGCAGGAAAGTGGGAAGCAGTTTTCTTTGACCCACTTTAATAAGCAAAGTTTATTGACTCTTGGGTTCCAAAGATGCTATTGTCATAAGTACGTTTGTTGAAAATCACTCTGGGAAGGTCTCTAGGGAATTTCTTCAGGCATCCAAAGTAATTAGCCTCCTGAAGTCACCTGGAGTGTCTGCTTTGCCAAAGAACAAACAGCCCATTGCCCTTTTTTCTTATTTCACCTGTGTGTCTGTGTGTATGGGGAGTGCTGAGGGTGGTGATGGAAGTGGTGAGATATAATGAAACTTAGGGAAAGGAGAAAGAAAAAAATATGAAGACCGAGAGAATGAAAATGGAGTGATTAATTCTTCCTTGAGACCCAACTGGTTTCTTTCTTGGTTACTACTAGGCTTGATTTTGTTCCTGCTTTTATTAAAAATTGGCCTGTGTTGGGCCTTCCCTGGTGGTGCAGCGGTTGAGGCTGCCCGTAGCCTCTGCAGCGCCGGTTTGTTCCCTGGCGCCGCCGAGGGTCCCACAAAAAAAAATAAAAAAAAAAAATTGGTCTGTGTTGAGTTCATCCCTTTTATTTCAAGGACCTGTCATTACCATAGGCATTTTTAGGCAAGTTAGTCACCTGCAACTGGCCTCAGCTCTGATTGTTGTCCATTACAGGGCTCTGCATCTGTGATCTCTTAGACTTCAGGATCTCCTTGGTCTGGTGTACAGTGGGCACACAGATATATGTTAAAATGAATGAATACACTAAGTCATTTAACCAAACCAACTAGCTGGACAATTTCACATATAACACAACTCTTTCAAAGACTCAGACTGTGACATGAGTGGTTCTCTACCATAGACAAAATCTCCACATTTTATTTTTTATTTTTATTATTAATTAATTAATTTATTTTTAAAGGTTTATTTATGCATGCAAGAACTGGGATACAGTCCAGAAGTGGTGAGGGGTGAGAGGATTAACCAGAGACAGAGTGGGGAACAGAACAGGCGGATTGACTGAAATACACTGCTGAGGGGAGCAGTGGGTGAGTCAGGAGAGGTCTGCTGCACCATGTGGGTATCTCCCTGGCCAGGGATTGAACTTGTGCTGCAGTGGCGGCAGACAGCTTCACAGGTTGTGTCTTAATCCCTTGCGCCACCAGGGAGGCCTCTCTCCACATTTTAAACTTTGATTTGAATTTAAAGAATGTTTAAGTGTCTCTGTTTTGTGAATCAAATCTTCTGAAATAATTAAATCTTTTTAAAAATTTTCCTTTAAGGATTTGCTAGAATATTTGGATATCCAGTAGGTATCATTGGAAATAATGGAGTTCTCTTTTCTGAATCTTCAAAGAAGGTAAGTGCTATTAAAAATGTTTCAAAAATTTCTGTTTCAATTTAAAACATAGCTAACTTTAAAGCTCAGGTAATGAATAAAAATTTATTACATAAAAGTTTTAAGATATTTAACCAGATGCCTTAGTAACCAAAACGCTGTGTGCACATGTGAGCATGTGTGCATGTGAGCATGTGTGTTTGTGCTTGTTAGTGTTTCAAACAGTTTTATTGAGGTTTGCGTTAATATGATGAACTATCTGGAGCACTATTAAAAATCAGGTATTTGTTTTAGGAAAGTTGTTATAAGATAATTGAATTATAACTGCTGTGTATGACACGTACATATTCAAACACTGTAGGAACTCTTCCCTTGAAAGTGTTTTATTCTCTAGTGCTCCATGCATTTGAGGGATTCAGACATAGGAATTCAGGTGACTCTGAGAGGTGATTTGTTTTTTCTCTTCTTCTCCATTATAGTTTTCATTTGATTCTATTTTCCTTTTTGAAACAGGGAAGATAATGAGTTTCAAATTACTGAAAGTCTGGTTTTATTTATTTATTTGTTTGTTTGTTTGTTTTAAGATTTATTTTTATTTATTTATACAAGCACTGGGTATAGTCAGAAGTGCGGGAGGGTGAGAGAATTCACCAGAGCCAGGGAGGGGAGCAGAGCAGGCAGAAGGATCCAAGTACACTGCTGAGAGGAGCAGCGGGTGGCAGGAGTGGTCTGCGCGTCATGCAGGACCCTCCTCCAGTGGCCGGGGAGCAGCCGGGGATTGAACCGGCGCTGCAGAGGCTGCGGGCAGCTTCGCAACCCAGCGCTCAACCGCCGCGCCACCGGGGAGGCCCTGAAAGTCTGGTTTTAAAAGCAAATTCTTAAATATCTTTTTGGCTTAGTACTCAGTATTATACATCATCTCAGATTTACCTAAACTTGAATAAATGTAGTTCATTCACTTACTTGATAATGTTTTCTTAAGAAAAAGCATTTTCTTAAGAACCACTTTTCCTCTTGAAATGATAGAGTAAATAAGATAAAGGGTCTCTTATTAATATAGGTAATAGGAAATTAGCTCTTTCATACCCTAATGGAAGAAAACTCATCTTTGGTGGAATGTTTTTACCAATTAAGTCAGTTTCTATATTTTGATATTCAGAATAGCAGTAAGTGAAAAAGCAGTAAGTAAAAAAGAAAAAAGAAGAAAAATCACCCACATTCTTACCAGAAATAACTGTTAGTAATGTTTTATTTTGGTTGTGGTTGTTATGGTTCCTTAGCTTTTCTATTTTTTAAAACAAAATTGATGATGCCATATACGTAGAGGTTTTGCTTGTTTTCCTTTAATAGTATATGTAGTGAATGTTTCTTAAAATGCGAAGTATTCCTGAAATACTGACTTAATGAATATATAATATTTCAACAGAGCAAATGTCAGACTGAGGCCAAACGCCATCTTGTTGCATTTGTTGGTTGGCACAATTAAGCCCAGGAGGAGTTATGTTGGCTTCAGCCTGACAGTTAATTTGTTGAAGTAAGCCCCAAAGGACTATGTGATTTCCTCATTCTTGTATTTGAGGACGAGCAATCACTGTGATTTTGTACTTGCCAAGGCATTTCCGGAAGTTAAAGGGATCTGCAAATAGAGAGTAAAATATAAAAGGAGGTAGTTTATAAGACTTCATAATCTCTAAAAGATCAGACAAGGAATAGTTATATTTTTATGTCATTAAGTAATTTCCTAAGATCAAGGTTAGAAGGTGTCTAGCACTCATCCAAACTCCTTTCTATTTGGATGTGTTGTGAGAAGGATTTATTTTATTATCACCTTGGTGCAAGAAAGAATATCAGATCATCATCAAAATGTAAATGTCCAAGAAGTGTTTAGATTCTTTTTTTAAGAGGAGAATTACAGAATTCTCTTCCAGTAAGGTTTAGGAAATCTCTTTAACGAGCAGTTCTGTTTCTATTACTTAAGTTTTGCTTGCTATTTGAATGTTAGTGATTGACTTCATCACTGACCCAGCAGTTGGCCTGCAACGTGGGCCAGTGACCACACAGGAGACGGTGCAAAAGCACTGTACAGAAGAGCCAGAGGTCCTCTTGATACAGTCAGCACTCAAGTCCTGCTGTTACTGTTACTATGAGTCAGACTAGCCAAGCAAAGAGCACTCTGTATTATCTTTGACTCTGGTGTGGGGTTGTAGGATGCATGACCATTGCAGATTTGTTCACTCTTCTTTAGAAAGATTTTTTATCTTATTTGCTTTTAGGGGGCTCACTTCGTCCAGTTATGCTGCCAGAGGAATATTCCTCTGCTCTTCCTTCAAAACATTACCGGTAAGGAAATAGCTTGATTGCTTTGGTTGCATTTATTCCAGAACTACACTATCCAATATGGCTCATACATTGGACAGTGCAGATATAGAACCCTTCCATGCTGGCAGAAAAGTTGTATAGGATGTGTTCTTTCTATCTTTAAAGGTTGTTTTTTTTTAAAGATTTTATTTATTTATACAAGAGCTGAGGTACAGGCCAGAGGCGCGGGAGGGTGAGAGGACTCACCAGAGACAGAGCAGGGAACAGAACAGGCAGACTAGTGAAATACACTGCTGAGGGGAGCAGTGACCGAGACAGGAGAGGTCTGCTGCGCCATGTGGGTATCTCTCTAGCTGGCCGGGATCAAACCCACGCTGCAGAGGCTGCAGACAGCTTCACAGTGCTGCTCTCAACCCACTGCACCACTGGAGAGGCCCTTTCTTTAAAGGTTAATGCTTTATGACTCTTAAATATTTGGTGGAGTTTATCCATATGTTCTGTATGAGGTAATTTCTGAGTTACATGCATCACAAACATTCAGATGGCCCCCTTTGCTCCTTCCCGTGCATGCCTATACAACCAGACGGCAGCACTTCCTGTGACCAGTGACCAGTCACATCCTCTGGTCACTGTTCCAGGGTATTGTCTGATGAGTGTCTCCTTCCCAGTACTTTGCTCCCCTTAAAGGACATCTCTTTGGATTTCATGTTCTATAGATAATCTTCAAATGGCAGATGAAATGATTTTGAAAGTCTCTTTTGGTTCTGGAGTTCTTTTTTTCTAGAAATCTTCATCTGGTGGTACCCCTAACTTTGAGATATTTGGTTAAATGCATTTAGAGAGGAGTTATGTCCAGATTGTGACCTGAGAGGATCCTATGTGTAAACCTTGTAAAAGAGCAGATAAGAAGGATTCTGAAGCTTCACTAGGCTTTCTAATAATGATTCATGATTTTTTAGCTGCCAGTAAGTTAAACCTTGTACTTGGGAGATTCCTACATTTTGGTTTTGTTAACTGTCTTGACTGGGTTGGGGGCAGAAGAGTAGAGATTGAATTTGGTTTGCAACATTACATTTGGGGAGCATGTCCAATATTCACTTGAAGATATATAGTGGGTAGGTGAGTAAATTTTGAGCACAGAAGATAAAATGTGTGTTAGCTAGAGGTGAATAGGTAGGTATCATCAGAATATGGATAGGGCATAGAAAATCATGGAGATCGATAAGAACACTGAGAGAAGAGGGTCTCAGGGATAATCTTTGGGTTATTCTGTTTCTTCCACAGAGATGAGAGTAAAGGAATTAAGGAAGTATGATCATATTGTTCTGTTTTGTTTTGTTTATGGGAGGAAGGGAAGGATTGAAGAAAATCAGGCAGCATGGCCTCGGTGTTCTTTTTGAATACAAAATCACTTACAGGGAATAGAGAAGTGGGGGTGGGGTAAGGGGCAGTGAGGATTTGAAGAGTGGTCCTTCTAATACCTTGTTGGAACTGACTTCTGCACATGAATCCCATCACCCATAGACACTGTTCTTGTTCTTTCTCTCAGGATTTATGGTTGGTAGAGAGTATGAAGCTGAAGGAATTGCCAAGGATGGAGCCAAGATGGTGGCTGCAGTAGCCTGTGCCAACGTGCCCAAGATAACTGTCATCATTGGGGGGTCCTATGGGGCAGGCAACTATGGGATGTGTGGTAGAGCCTATAGGTACGTGGTTGTCATGATTTTCTTTGAGAGAATCATATGTCAAGTATAATTATAATCATCAGTTTATTTCAGATTTACTTGAATATAGAATGGTATTCACAAATCTTTTTTTTTCCAACAAGAACCGGGGTACAGGCCACATGTGCGGGAGGGTGAGAGGATTCACCAAAGACACAGCAGGGAACAGAACAGAGTGAAATACACTGCTGAGGGGAGTAGTGGGCAAGACAGGAGAGGTCTGCCGCACCATATGGGTATCTCCCAGGCCGCCCAGGATCGAACCGGCACTGCAGAGGCTGTGGACAGCTTCACAGTGCTGTGCTCAACAGCCTGTGCCACCAGGGAGGCCCGGTATTCACAAATCTTGATCAATTATACCATAATTTGTATTATTAGGAGTGGTGAAGTTAAATTTAATGCTAAAGGGAAGAAATTCCAATGAGAATCAGAAATATTTTGAGATAGCTGATACTGAAAATACTACCAATCCTAGCACGTACAATGTGGCTAGTCTTGCTTTGAGAGAAGCGTATAAACTTAAATAGAATAGAATAGAAGTTAAGTCTGAAAATCAGCCAGCCAAGCAACCAGCTCAAGAAGTTCAAAGAAGGCAGCATATTAGACACAAGAAAATAGAATGCAGGATGTAGTGAAGAGCAAAGAAAGTAAAGAAGAATCACTGAAGCCCAGAGTTGAGTGAAAATGAAACCAAACTTGATAATCCTTTGGTAAAACTAAAGAGAGAAGGCATATATAACCAATGTCAGAAATGGAAGCCAGGACATGAGGGTATTATGAGGGTATTATGAATACTTTTATACCCCGCAAATTAGATGAGATGGAAAAATACAATTTACCAACATAGATGCCAGACTTACCTGGAGAACTTAAAACCCTACCACATGTCAGTCCCACGACTGGAAATTTGTCTGGGGTGGGTTCCAAGCTTTGGTATTTTTTGGTAATCCCCAGATGATTATAATATGCAGCTACAATCAAAACCACTAATTTAAAAGATAAACATGAGCCTCTAGGAATATCTATATTGCACAGTGAACTAATTTAATCATTCTTCCCCCAGCCCAAGATTTCTCTACATGTGGCCAAATGCTCGGATCTCCGTGATGGGAGGAGAGCAGGCAGCCAATGTGCTGTCCACAGTAGCAAGGGACCAAAGAGCAAGGGAAGGGAAACAGGTAAATTCCCTCTCCTCCCCGTCTCTGGATTTGGCTTGCACCAAGGAACCTCCTGGAGGCAGGAAACAGAGCGCCAAGTATCCCTCATGTTCCAGGCTTGGGAGTGGTGTTAGGAGGGGGTTCAACACGTAGGGTCTGCCTCTATTTAGAGGATGCTAACTTGGAAGCCGTTTCAGCTATTTAGACTTGCACATTTTCTCTCTCTTTTTTAGAGCCACTTCCTTTAAGGTGTCTTCTTTGTGGTAATTTACAATTTTCAAGAAAATACTTCAGAAACTCAGCCTATGAGTGCCAGTGGCATACAGATGTTTGATTCTTAGTCATGTACAGTTAGTGAGATTTAAATAAATCTGATTTACTTATTTGATTTCAGAGCAAAGCACCCAGTTGTTTTTTCAGCTTTACTTTTAAATGGTTAAGGATACCTTGAGTGGGAGGGCTCAGTCATCTGACAAGAAGTGGCGTTATTATACTGTGAAAGAGTAAAGGACGAAACAGGGCACTGGAAGCTGATGAAAGGCAAATCAGCAAGTGGTTGCTTTTAACATGGATTCTTTTGTTTGTGTCTCCATTGGAGTCTTCTGAATTTTGCACTGATTTTTGTTAATTATAACTTAAGTATAATATTTTGTGTAAGCACCAAGCATTAAAATGATTGAGGCATCTTCCTGAAATTGATGAAGAACACTGTTTCGTCATAACAGAGTATAAAATGCAGGCGCCCTGCCTTCTCAGATTCTCAGTCCTGCCATTCAGGGATCAACTGGTCAACGTCCTCATTTGTGGAGTGGGATAATATAAAACCAGAGATTGTCCCTGGCCCTGAATGCATCCACCCACGCCTCACATCTCTGTTCGTCTTTTCTAAGCAGAGGAATTCTGCAGACTTAACGTTCAGATTCGTGTTAGCACTAACATCAAAGCAAACACTAAGCTTTACTTACTGTGTGTGGGAGAGGGAGTGAGGGAGCATAAAATGACATTCTACCAAGTATCCACCAGATGGTCTACCTAAACTAGCCCAGCATGGTGATCTCTTATTGAATAGTTGTTCTCTGATTAACTTGATAAGCAGATATATAATTCATCTATTTTATATATGGAAGAAAAAGTATAAGCTTTTAATGATTTTCCCTTAGAGTTCTTAATTTATAAATTATATAAACCACTAAAGTACATAAAAGAAGATTGGATTTGTTTGAAATTCATTTTTTTTTTTTTTTTGGTGTAAATATACTCAATGGAAAATGCTTTTTGGGCGTTCAAAATTAGTGTGCATGAAGATTTTTACATTTGAATTATCACCTATTTCTGGCAAATCTGATGAACAAACTATTAAAGTTTTTAACTAATGAAAATATCTTTCCACTATATGGGAATTTTCAAAAGAGGTTGTTCAAGGTGTGATTGATGTTTTACCCCTCTAAGGTACAATTTCTTTTCAATATTGGCTGTTTTGAACAAAAATCCCTAATTTCTCCACCTTTTTAAACAGAAGCTGCTAAATCCAATGTGCCCCTTTGTTATGTAGTAGAATTCACCCCTACAGTTGTATTCTGCTGGAATACAATGATAGGTGATGTTCTTAGCTTTGACCTTACATCAAATGGCCTCTGGATGTTGTCTCTGATAAGGGAAATGGGATGGTGCACTCACTTGATACTGATGTCTCAGTTGAGATCATGTGTGTTAACATATTGCTTGTAATCTGGGTGAATGTGGGTTGTAGCATTATAAACCATGAATTCTGTTGCCACGCTTTTCTTTTCTTTTTTTTTTTTTTTAAAGATTTCTTTTTTTTTAAGATTTATTTATTTTTTTACAAGCACTGGGTACAGTCAGAAGCATGGGAGGTTGAAAGAATTCACCAGAGGCAGAGCAGGGAGCAGAACAGGCAGAAGAACCAAAGTACAATGCTGAGGGAGCAGTGGGCAGCAGGAGAGGTCTGTGCCCCATGTGGACCCTCACCCGCACCGGGATCACACCAGCGCTGCAGAGGCTGAGGGCAGCTTCACAACCCAGCGCTCAACTACTGCGCCACTGGGGAGGCCCTAAAGATTTATTTCTTTATGCATACAAGAGCTGGGGTGCTGGCCAGAGATGCAGGGAGAGGGGGGAATGGTGAGAGGATTCACCAGAGACAGAGTGGGTAGTAGAACAGACAGATCTACTGAAATACACTGCTGAGGGGAGCAGTGGGCGGGACAGAAGAGGTCTGCTGCACCATGTGGGTCAGCTCCCTGGCTGGGGATTGAACTCATGCTGCGGTGGTGTGGACAGCTTCATAGTGCTGTGTCTCAACCCCTTTTGCCACCAGGGAGGCCCCTGTTGCCACATTTTTCTTGATCTTCTCTTGAGTGGCTCTGTTGTTCCATGGAACTGATTTACTCAGGATCCCTTTTCTTTCAGTTCTCCAGTGCTGAAGAAGCTGCTTTAAAGGAACCCATCATCAAGAGATTTGAAGAGGAAGGAAACCCTTACTATTCCAGTGCAAGGTGGGAGCCAGAATCCCTGATGGCTGCATCTGGGCAGACAAGGCAGCAGCTCTAGGAGATCTAAGCAGTGGGAATGGCCCAGCCTGTGGCAACTAATAAGCAATGTTTGGGCATACTTGATTTTGTACTGTGTCTGTAATGGGAATGCCTGCTGCTGAAATGCCCTTCTCCCAGGCTGGACTGGGGATCTACCCCACTGGTCTGATTCTGCCACCCACTCCCCTTCTTCTCTTATCCCACCTATCTGAAGACTGGGGCTGCAGGGACCCTGCAGCTGGAGGTTGAACCCCAGTGGGGCTGGGAAGTTAGGAGTTAAAATCCTGGCTATGTCTCTTTTAGGAATTAGTTCTAAGTTTGCTTAAACACATAGATTCTGGTGATAGCCCTCTCTGATATTTGTTTTTATCTCACTCTAAGCATGAGATGGGTTGAACACTTACTGGCACTTGCTAACAAGTATATTCGTGTGTTCAGAAGGTGATCAGTCACAGCCAAGGCCCATGTGTCAATGCCAAGTAATTACCTCACACACCATCACAAATCTTGATTCTGTTTGCTTCTTATGCCATTTAATGAGGTAATAAATTTTCCAGACCTGTCCCAGCTGGAGACTTGTTGGCATGTGCTTTCAGACCATTGTTTTCTACCAACAACTTTAATGTTCTGCATTCTGAAGAGTAATCTAAGCTTCATGTCTTCCTTTTATCCCTTGGGCAGAGAGAAAAAAGAAAATAACTATTTGTGTCTTTTAAAATTAAGTTATGCAGTGATTTATGCCATTGACTGGTGATGGCAAACTGGAGAAAATCAGAAGTTAGAATCCATTTCCATCACTTGAACAGTTTTTGTGGCAGGCGCTGCTCTTAGTACTGGGGGCATAAAGACTTGAATATACTTATTTTCAAGAGCATAATTAGTTTCAGAATTTAAATGATACCCTCAGGATTTTTTAAATGCCTGTTTCTCTTTTGTTAAATATGCATTTTTCCAAACAATATTACTAGGTATATTTTACTGTGATAGGTCATTGATTACTTAATTAAGAAAAAGCATTTTAAAGATTTTGATTTGAGATACATGTTCTTTAACCATCACTGAGACATATTGTAGCTAGCAGACCACAAAAGGAAATACAAAACCATATGAAAAGTAAGAGAAAGTGTATATTGTGACTCACTACAGTTTTTTTTTTTTTAATATATAAGATTTTGATTGAAATTCATCAGGACAGTTGAAATATTAAACTTTGAAAAATAGCATATTTTGAGTGAGCCATTAGTTTGTTTTTCAACCCTAGTTGAGATAAGTCATATACTGAGAAAGACTGAAATCCTTTGCTATTTTTATAGTTAAATTATTATTATTTAAATAGATTATACGCAATGCAGGAGTGCAAATGACTCAGATAGACTTATCTCTGGAAATAAAAGTTGAAAAACAGTATGGTTTTTCTGTTAATCTATAAAATTCTAACCCTTCTGTTAAAACAGACGGTGACTTGGAGACAGCAACTTTCTTTCAAATATTAAAGAATTTTCAAGCCAGTTTATGACACCTCCCTTGGATTTAGCAAATCTCAGCTTACAGTTGAATTCTGTGGTCTATTTAGACTTCAACCTGGCTGGATCTGTCTTTTTCTAGATTTGGGTCATCATCTGTTACTATAATTTCCCATGTCTTTCCTTACAAGTTCTGTGGGCAGCGCACCAGTTTTCTATGCTTAGTTCTTTTTATAATCAGACTTTTATCAGGCATTTGATCAGGGCCTTGCACCTGGAGCCACCTTTGATCTGATGGTGAGTGAAGCGGCCCCAGCATCATCTTGCCTGTGGTGTTCCTCAGCTGATGGTTTCTGGATGGAGTCTGATCAATTGACCGGGTTACAAACGACCAGAGTGGCCTTTTATTAGCTGCTGATAGTTCAGGGCCCACCTATGAATGTTTTATGAGCAAGGATTTGATTCATGGCCTGTTGATGAAAGCATGTTTAATAATTGATGCTGTGTCTAGATCCTGAAGGCAGTTTGTTTAAAGAAAGTAAAATTGCCATGTATTAACAACCTTTAAGAAGCGCTATTTCTCATTCATTTTGCTTTAAAATGTTGATGTTGTTAATGCAAACTAAAATTTTACTTAAAATTTCTTCTGAAAGCAGATTAAAGCTATTAGTTGTATTTCCTATTGCAGCAAAAGTTAAGAATTACATATGAATATATTTTATTAATAAAATGGAGACTAGTCATTATTGTCAGCTTAAGAATTTGGGGAGATATCCTTTTTTAGTAGGGACTTTGGTTTGAGGCTGTTACTTGGATTTATGTGGTTGTCCATATTTTAACTGGAATACTTCAACTTGATTTGTATGTTTGTGTGGGCAGAAGAAACAGGGAAGTTTTTCTTGAAATAAGTAAAAGTTTTAAAATCTGGGGTTTTTTGATGTTGTTATAATAAGCAATTTCTGAAGCCATAGCTTCTTCATAAAACGCTCTGTGGGGATCTGGGATTAAAGTCATGACAATTTCCTTCACTTTTTGTTAAATGTGAACATGGTCTCTGTTGTGAGATTATAGGACGCAGATTCTCATAGGTAGATCCATGTATTGCCTGAGGAAAAACTTCTTGGGGATTTCTGGCCATGGACTGTATAATGGCATACAAATGATAGTTGGTGGTAGAGTGCTAATAACTCCTTTTGTTCTTTTCTCAGGCTGTGGGATGATGGGATTATTGATCCAGCAGAAACCAGAATGGTCCTGGGTCTCAGTCTTAGTGCTGCCCTCAATGCACCAATCCAGAAGACCAACTTTGGCATCTTGAGGATGTAACTGGAATAGCAAGCGTCTTTCACTGGCCATGTGCCCAAAATTAATACATGAGTAGCCTTAAGATTTTAGACTTTTCAACATGTAGTTGTTACAGTAATTGTTTCCTCAACATGATACATTGTACTTTCCTAATGAAAAAAAAATCAGTGAAGATATTTATTTGGTAAACCTCAATTCTTTGGAGATTTTCTCAGAAAATTATTTTTTGTGGCTCAGCTTTACTACCTTGTAAATTCCAGGTATTACTGAGGTTATGAAAATATAAATTGTATTTCTATTGAAATGATTGCTTTGCTGATTCTACACAAATGATATTTCAACACGGTAATTTTTTAAAGTATTATTTTTCCCTGAAGCCACTATCATGTTCTCTCCTGTAATAGTCAGGTGTTTCATTGTCTGCATGATGGTTCTATGTCCTACCCATTCTCTTCACCCAAAACCTTGACAACAGCCCTCTCCAAGGTTACCACTGACCTCCATGTTGCTGTGGGTTTCTTTGCTGAGTTTATCTGACTTAACCTGCAGCATTCTAATCACTCCAACATTTCTTCCTAGAAATGCTGTGCTTCGTGTCGTGCTCTGACCCCTCAGGTTTTTTACCGACTTCTCAAGCCATTCTTATGCTGCTACTTTGCAGGTCCCTATGCCTCCACTGACCCCTGTCTCCCACCACCCCTTCACCATTTGTCCTGAGTTTTCATTAGTAATTCATGAATACATTCTCATTCGGAGATCCAAATAACAAAAGTATTTCTTCATTTGTTAAATTGTGGCAAAATATATGTAATAGAATTTGCCATTTTCACCACTCTAATTGTACCGTTCTGGTCATTAAGTAGACACATTCTCACTTCTGTGCAGCTATTACCACCCTCCATCTGCAGAACCTTTTCTTCATCCCACCCTGAAACTTCCCACTGAATACCCCATAGTCCTCCCCGCCCCCAGCCCTGGCACAAGCACATTCTTGAATGTGTGTGTTCTCATGGCCTGGTTTATTCCTGTTGGGCCATTTCAGCCTTTCTGGCTTCAGTTGCTGGAAGGCAGGTGATTCTTGTACTGACAGTTCCTAACAACGTTCTCCCTGAGCCCCAGGCCTGCGTGTGTGACATGTCTACTGAGGGTCTGCATGGCTTGTCTAACAGGAATTTTAAGTTCAGTCATCAATTCTGTTGATTTTGCTTCCTATTCTTAAATTCCCTCACTATTTTTGTCTTTCGGGCCTTAGTGTCACCTAGTTCAGTCTCCATCACTCTGGATTAAGATTACCTTCCTAAAGTGCACATCTGGCTATGCTCTTCTCTTGTTGAAATCTTTTAAACATTTAAAAATGTTTCCTTATGGAAGAACCCAGCCCCTGTGCCCTCAGGATCTTGACCTCCAGCCTCTTCTTCTCATATGCCATGCTCAATTATTCTAGATTTTTAGTTCCTAGAACCTACTATGACTTTCCCACCTGAGGGCTGCCATCACCCTCTGCCTAAACTCTATAGCTCTTCCTATTTTTAAAACACTTAGCTTTTGTGTCTCTGACTTCCCTGAACTGGATTAGACACTACTGTGCGCTGTTACACAATTGCCATCTACTTCGTCTGTCACATAGTCATCACTTTACTGTACACATTTCTTTAATATTTCCTCCCTCCTGAAGAATGTACGCTCCATGAGAGCAGGGTCCTCCTGTTTACCCTGTATCTCCAAAGCTTGGCAATTTAGGTGCTCAAGAGCTTTGTTGAGTGAATGAAAAAAATGCATATTAATTGATATCCCAGGCCATGTAGTTTTAAAATAAGTGATTCATGATATAATCAAATACAACTATCAATGATTTCCTAATAAAATATATTACAAACATTTGTGCATGATGTTTAGTTAAGGCTGCATTTGTATATTAGGGAGTCATTTTTTGAGATGTGTACACATAGAAGATTACAATTGAAAGGTAAGTTGTAAGCATTTAAACACATTAAACTGTCAGTTAAAATTTATTCATGACAAAACAAAATGATTTTTTTTAAAGATTTATTTATTTATCCAAGCACTGGGTACAGTCAGAAGCGGGGGGGGGGGGGCGGCGGGGTGTGTGAGAGAATTCACCAGAGCCAGAGCAGGGAACAGAACAGGCAGACTGATGGAAACACACTGCTGAAGGGAGAAGCAGGCGCCATAGGAGAGGTCTGTGCCATGTGGTACCCTCGCTGGTGGCCGGGGATCGAACCGGCGCTGCAGAGGCTGCGGGCAGCTTCGCAGCCCAGTGCTCAAGCATAGATATTTTCTTAGCAGGAACTCTGAGCAAGTCAAAGATTCATGGATGTATCTTAACTTTTGTTATTTAGGAGGTCACAATCATCACTAAAACCACACCTAAGCTAGATTATTTTATATACTTGTCTTATTAAAAATATTTATACTTTACAATATAGGCAGACTTTTTGTTTCCATACAGATTTATTGAAATATGATGGGCATGTGACATTGTATAAATTTAAGTTACACCATGCAGATATTTGAGATATATATATATATATA